TCACTATTAAGTACTTCTGATCACGGTTTGATCTCTCTAAAACTATCATCTCATACTTCTTTATCATAAAAATCCCTTTATCATCATATCTCCTACAACTACCTTAAAACTGACTGGAATTCTTTAAATGATTTTCTTCTTGATGGCTTTTGGGTAAAAATCTATTGTCTTCCTAATGATAAATGTGCTTCTTACATAATTTCCTGGATTCAGGCTAGCATGGAATCTTTCCAGCTTCTGTATCTAAAGTAATTTCCTGTATAGACTTTTCTACAGCTTGTGGTTTGGACAACATACCTGTTATAGTCTTGTAGAAGTGTTCTCCGGAGCTGTCGTCTATACTTTCAAAACTAATAAACAAGTGCATATCAGAGTCTTCTTTTCCATCTTGCTGGAAAACGGCATCTGTTATTCCTATTTTCAAAAACTCTAGAAAGTGATACAACTCGTCTAACTAGGGTCCCATTAGTCTTTTTCCTATCATAAGCAAAGTTTTTGGGTCTTTATAATTAACCAACATTTAATCTCATATTAAATCTAATAACTTACTTTCTGATCATCAATATGGATTTCGATCATCTCGTTCTACAGCTGATTTGCTAACCTCCAACCATTATCACATCATTGTAATGTTGTTTCTCTTTCTCTTTTCTATAAATACTATTATGGGTACTGCTCTAAAAAGCTAGCCTCTCTCGTGCCATGTACTAAAATTCATTCTCATGTTGCTCATCATTCTATTAAGTCTCATCCTTTACTGTGACTGTTCCTAAGTGCTCTTAAAATTCTTATTTGTCCAGTTTTTTTCCTCAAATATGAGTTCTTTGGAATTCACCTCCATCTTGTTTTCCTGATTCGTATAATTTGCCTGTCGTCGCCTGTCGATTATTATCCCGCTCTACAAACTCTATCTTTTCTCTACCAGTAACTTCCAACTCTAATAATGGTTGCTAGCAGCCTTGTTGGAAGTTAAGATGTTGAAAAAAAAATTAAAAATTGATGTCAGGCCATCAACTGATTCAACAATCGTGAATAAGAGTTTTCTTCAACAACAACATGCAAATGCTTGATATTCTCAGCTATAATTACATTTTTTTAATGTTTTTAGTTTTTTTATCTCTTTTAATATAACGATGACAAGATGGAATAGCATTTTGATTCCTATTCAACATTCAAACTATTTTTCACTTTTAACTTGATGTAGAGTTTAAGTTTTGTTTAATTGCAAAAAAGAGTATACCTAACATGGTTTGATTTGCTCTTTTTCACGGTGTAAAAACTAGAAAGATATATTGTTAATTATTGAATTATTTTTCACCATCCCCAAGTGCAACATGAAGCTATAAAAAAATTCTTTCCAAGTTTGATAAACTGACTTTAAATGCGCCTTGTTGACTCAAACATAAAAATATTTTTTAAGAATAGATGAATCTGGTCCTTCAGTGAAAAGATATGTTATACCATGATAGAAAAAAAGAGTATAAGAAAAATTCAGAAAAGAAAAGAAAGATAAATTTGCTAAGTAATGAAAGTAGTAACAATGAATAAACGATGAAACTAATGTTAGGCATACTGTTTCTGAGCCAAAAAAAACTTTTCCAAACATTAGTTTCAGATTTTTATTTTAAACAACTTTTAAAAAATAATAACAATAAATAATAATAGAAAATAACTAAAAAAATGTATAAAAGTTATTGACAAAAAAACAAAATAATAATAATAAAGTGCACTTTATGTACAAACTATTATTTTAACTAAATATATAAAGTGACACATTAAAAATAAAATTGCTTTTTTACAAGGATGCAAGATAAAACTCTATCTCTATATAATATTGCCGAACTTAATAGTATTAGTAGTAGTGTTAGTGCTTAGTGCCCTGAGCAGCCATTGCAACCGAAGTTGTGGCGAGAAAGAATTGCAACATTTTGTTTTACAAGTAAACTTTAACAAATGTGTATGCAAATATCTAATGTATGTAAACTTCAAATTGAGTAATGTTAAAACATACTGAAACATTCATCCAGTTTTACAGTTTGATTTTTACTTCTAAATTGCATTGCGTCAAGCTCTCCTTAATTTCGATCTTTAACATTTATTTCTGTTAAAAAAATCATTATATAGTTTCAAAAACTTTGCTTTAACATGCCAGTGCGGCTAAGTGGATAGCGGCCGAGCTTCTGAACAAGTAAGCCATGGTTTGAGTCCTACCACTGGCAACTTTTTTTTTTTTTTTTTGGATTGTTTACAATACAAAATACTTTTGAAGTTTTATAGAGAATATATACAAATATATATATAACGATATTAGACACTTTAACAAACAAAAAGATTTTTAAAAAGCTAAAATTTCTAAAAACATCAAAACACTGGGAGAAAAAATTTGTTTCGCGTGTGCTATGATTGAGATACTTATGTTATTAATGTGCTCAGGTAATTAGTCCTAATAAGCTGCGGATAGTCTGAAAAAAAAAGTTGTTTGAAACTTAATAAAGAAAAAATTTATTAAGACAGTCTTTCTACTCCAGAAAGTGCTGCTGTGGAAGCAAAAAAAAAAAGCCTGTAGCTAGAAAAAACTTTCTTTTGACAATTAAAAGTTTTTTTTGCTACATTTATTCTTTTACTATAAATATATGCTGCAACCGTTTTTCAAAACACCTTACAGTAACGTATCTAGAAATTTTGGGGGAATACTGGTCTAAAAATCCTGTCTACCTTAAGAGGACCTTTTTTTTTTTACACTAATTTAAATAACTATTTATATACTCGCCCTAGTACTTTACATTTTTCTTAATAAAAATGTAAATAATTAACCAAAATAATGTTACATTTATTACAAAATGACGGCTTTAACGCCAACATCAATTTTCATTTACTTGTTTTATTCGCTTACTAATATAAAGAATATAATTTCATAAACAAGCGATAACTATAACATTTAATAAACAATATTTGTATGTTTCTTTTATATAGACTTAAAAAGATTTATTACATAGCGTATTTATTGCATAACAAGGTCAATTACAACATATTCCATATTTCATCAACATGAATTCGAACTAAGTATTCTGATTGACTTAAAATACAACTATAATGTGTTTCAAAAGTTGTTTTTCAAATGTTGGATTTTCTAAGCAACATTAGTAACAACAAATTTTATCATAATTATCATCATATTTATAATAACAAATTTCATCACAAAACAACAAGACAATAAGTAATAAAAAATTATTTTATTTTAATTATTTAGTATCGAAATTGGCCTGGATATGTCGCTGCCTTGATATGCTTATTACATGTCGAGAAAAACGCAATTTAAAAAAAATTATTAGGAGAAACTCTTTGTAAAACATTTTTAAAACGAATAATTTTTATAAATTTTTCAGAACTCTTTGAAAATATATATTCAATAATGTTTGTAGACATCTAAACTAGCTTATTTTGTAAAAAAGTAAAATTTGATTTTTTTTACCTTAAGGCGTTTTGAAAAACGGCTGCAATATGGATGATACAGCGAATATGTTGAAATAAGATAATTTGATGCAAAATTTAAAAGCTTTTAACAAAAGCCACTAAACCAAAAAAAATTAAAAGTAATTGAAGCTCAGTGCACTTGAAAATTTTAAGTATAATATATTGGTGTTTGCAAAGAAACATAAATTTTTAAACTAGCCTTTTTTAAACTTTAGTGTATAGGTAGGTTTAACGCTTAAGCATCCTTATATAAACAATATATATAAACAAATATGTTATTTGTTTATGTATATTTTTTATAAAATGTAAAAAATCTACTTATATAACGTTTTATTCAGGATCGTATGTAATAACTAAATTTTTCTAATAATTACAAGTCTTTTTTACTCAAGCTGTTTTGTTTTGATTTTTTGTAGGTATGTTATTATACTTTTTAAAATTGACAAGATTGAAAAAACACGAAACATATTGCCTCATCCAAGTGGAAAATTTGAAACTTTAATTTTAGATTTACCCCTCTCTTGATAATTTCTGATTGCTAAAATTATGTCATCTGCTTCTTAGACTTTTGAAAATGATAGGCCTTTAAAAATGATTTTTCGTAAATTGTTGAAACCACAAATTTTTTTGAGTATGTGACATCACTATGCAGTAAAAAAATAGAAAAACACACTGGAAATAAGATTCTATTCAAATTTTTTAAAAAAACTTCTATTAAAGATATATGAAATATATTTTTATAGGTATATTCTAATAAAGAATAAAACTATATATTTATTACTATTGTAATAAATACAATCTCTTATTTGTGAAATGATATATCTGTACCAGTTTTATATATTTTTATAAATGTTTCATAAGATCTTGGTCTAAGATCTTCTTAGTTCCATTTGTATAGCGTTAGGTACAAACGTCTGTAAGTGTAAATGTTTTTAGCTTATGTTGAGTTTATGGCATTATATGGAATAATCGTGTATAATGTCTATAAAATGAGAAAACTTTATTTTAAATTTTAGAAATCTTTTTTGCAATACTATTATTTTTTTGTTATAAATATATAAGCAAGATTGAAAAAAATTTTAAAATTTATTACGCTAAGAGGAGGTCTTAAACCCCTAAAACAAACACTGATGACAGCGCACTTAACCACTGAGCTATCAATGAAACGCATTTAGCAGAAAAACAAACCTAATTATATATCTCTTATTAGCTCTACGGAAAAGATGCGCATGTTAATTTTTTTGCTTTTATAGTTTTTTTTCCAAACAAAATTATTTTACTAAAAAATATTGAAGTAAATAAGGAATAGGTATAGAAATAATCGGTGTGGACTAGATATATATAGAAATGGTAGGTTTGGTAAAGACCTAAATTTTACGGATCCAGAAAGCTAGAATATATAATGAAAATGTATAAAAAAAGTTTGGTTTGAAATAGACTTGCAAAGACCCATTTTTTTACGGGTCTGATTTCAGATAGTGATGTATTAATTCTATTCAAAAAGTACATATAAATAAATAAACTACCTTCAGAAGATATCTTATTTAACTCCTCTTGGCTCATAGGAGAAACCTCAACAGTCATTTCAATATCATCTGATTGAGTCATCTTGATCCACTATATAATATAACTAGTAAGATAGAAATAAGCATGAAAATCGTTTAAAAAAAAGTATTAGAAAGTATTATAATTATGTTAATACTAATAAAAGATTTAAAACATACGAAAGCACTTCTTTATATATATATATATATATATATATATATATATATATATATATATATATATATATATATATATATATATATATATATATATATATATATATATATATATATATTTATATATATATATATATATATATATATATATATATATATATATATATATATATATATATATATATATATATATATATATATATATATATATATATATATATATATATATATATATATAGATATAGATATATATATATATATATATATATATATATATATATATATATATATATCTTATATATAGATTTTCTAAATAAATTAAAATTAAACAGTAAATATGAAAAAATATTTAAAGAATTACTTATTTATAAACAATATATTTAAACAAAGAAAATAATACAATTTTATGAATTATTCATTTTGAAAAAAAAATATTAAAATCAAAATGTTAAAATTAAAGTATCATTATGGTTTAAAATACTATCAAGAAAATATCTATCTAACCTTATCTTCACGGAATTTTAAACATGAATCTACATATACTATGCTTAAAAAAACAAAAATGAATTTTATAGAATGAAAAAGTTGTTAATAGTTATGTAAGCAATTCTTTATGTATTTAAAAACCAATAGAAATATATTTATATATATAATATATAATATAAATATATTAATATATTTAATAAACTAAATTATTTATAGATGTAGGCTTTAAAGTTGCAGCAGACATTTTTTTAAAAAGTTTTAATAAAATAAAAAAGGTTTTTAATCAAAACTTCACTAGAATATTTATTTTTTAAAAAAAGGCTTAGTAAATTGATTATATTAACAAAATGCTACTGTTGTTAGGAGTGCTTAGCACTAAGTAGCAATAGTTAAATTTTTAAAATTGCAGATTTTAAAACAAAATTTAGTGAAAAAACTTTAATAAATTATAGAAACTATACTTTTATTTTATTGTTTTCTAAATGAAAACCAGACTTACCATTGAATTTTTTATACTTAAAAAACAAACTGAAAAAGCTGTTGAATTATAAAACAAGGTACAATTTGTTAAGTTCAAAATTTTAGCTGACTTTTAGACTTCTTTTAATGTTGTAGAAAAAATAAAATTTGAAAAAACTTATGAAAGCAAATTATAAGTTTAAATATATAGTTGTTTTATTTCTAATTTTATCAGAACTGTATGATAAGTCATTTTTTTATATCATAAAGTGTTAGGAGTTAGGTACAATAGTAGTTAATACCTTAAAGAAGATTTTAAAATTTCTGACTTAATAATAACTTTCAGTTTTGGGAAATAAATCCTGCAACTGCCTTCTTGATGTTAAAATATATTTTAATTTAAAAAGTCATATTTTCGAGATAAGCAATTAAAATATTCGAGATAAGCAATTAAAATATATTTAAAGCTAAAGATTTAATGGGATTTAAAAAAAAAGAGACAGTGAAATAGACTTTATAAAATCTAAGAAACCTCAAATAAAATAAAAATCCTAACAAAATAGTTTGTACCAAAATATTTTTAATGGAATCTGTTTTGTGATTTTTTTGCACAATGCATAATGTTATTTACATTATTAATACATAAAATATATATAAAAAGCCTGGGGAAACTTTGACAAGCTTGTAACTGTTCACAACACACCTGTTCACTGTTTAACTGTTCATAACACATCAGTTAGAAAAGCAATTTTCAACTTAATATAAAAAACAAGTAAAAATTTTAAAAAGGTTAGAGGGTAAATACTTTCTCAATAAAGTAAAAAAAAAATATTCTGAAACTTAAAAACATACATATGTAAAAGCATACAAAAATACATACAGAGGAAAATGCAGCTTTTTCGCACCATATAAAAATTTTGCACATATTAAATAAATACCATTTATTAAACTTAGAACTATATGTTGAAATTAAATTATATATCAAAATAATATTATATATTGAATTATAAATATATAGAATTAAAGCCAGCAACTTATTCAATGTATAAGTTTTTATAAGTTGATATCTTAATTGCGGGCAACTGACAGTTCAGTTGAACTCTATTTTATTTGAAAAATATTGAATAGCTTATTTAAGACTACGAAAGAAGAAAAAAAAGAGCATTTATTGGAAATAAACATCAAAAATTATCAAAATAAAGCGAAAATGCTTTTTAAAAAACAAAAATGTACTGGCTTGTGCTCAAAATGCATTGTCATTTTTTTTTCTTTATTAACATATATAAATTTATTCGCTACACGTCCGAAATCATTTGAATCGTTTTTTGTTAATCGTTATTAAAGTTAATCGTATCGTAATCGTTATTAAAATTAGTCGTATCATACGTATCGTTTAGTTGTATCATACGTATCGTATAGTCGTTATCAAAATTAATTTTTTTCGGGACAGCAATTGACTAAATATACCAATATTTTTATATTGGTATATTTAGTATATTTTAGATATTAAAAATATACCAATATTTTTAATATCTTGTTATTTAACATATTTGTGTGCGCTTTCCTCGAAATGTTCTCATCAATATGTATACCAAGAAACTTTGTTGGGTTCTTTTGGTTTTATTATTTGCTTGGGTTCTTTCTTTCTAAGTAACTTTGAGTAATTTTTTTCTTGAGCAACTACGCATTTTTGCATGTCTAGCATTAAACTTTTGAACCCGTTTAAGGCTCTTTTTATCCCATATTTTTCCATGTTTTTAAGTAGAATTAAATGATCTACAGTGTCCAACGTTTTAGATAAGTCAACAAAAATTCCAAGTACAAATTTTTTACTTTCAAAAGAGTCATTTATGTTATTTACAAGATCTAAAATTCCCTGTTTGGTAAAGTGTTGCTTTTGGAAATCGAATTGTTGTTTAAATAAGATTTTGTTGTTTGTTATAATATATTTATTATACAATTTATTAAAATCTTATCGGTCTCAGAGAAAAAGTTAAAAAAATACTAATTAAGAAACCAGTATATCTTAATTTTAATGTTTTTATAAAAACAACTTTTTTTCAAATTTTCTCTCTATTTAAATAATTCTATTTAAATAGTTCTTTCTATTTAAATATTTGATTAAGTAATTTTTATAAACTATATATAATTAAGTTTTTAATTTATTTTAGACCAAAAAATTTTTTTATATAATTAAATATAGTTATATAAAATTTATATATACTTTTTACATAACAAATTTTTTTTAAAATAAATATTTTTTCTTCTTTTTTTGTTTGCTTTTAACTTTTAGACTAATGTCCCCAAGAAATGTCACAAATCAGCGGTTTTTGACAAAACATAGCAACAACAAAAAAGTTAACTATAATTGCATGTCGAGCATTAAACTTTTGAACCAGTTTAAGGCGACTCTTTTTATCCCATATTTTCCAATATTTTTAAGTAGAATTAAATGATCTACAGTGTCTAACGCTTTAGATAAGTCAACATAGATTCCAAATACAAATTTTTTACTTTCAAAAGTATTTTGAAATAAAGTATTTTTTCAAAAGTATTTTAGTTGTTCAACAAATGGGTAAAATATCAACAAGCAATGCCAGAAAAAAAGTTATAAACATCTAAAAAAAAGATGATATATACAAATTTTTTACTTTTTTGTCCCAAAACAGAAAAAGCACCCTTAAAAATTTTTCAACCTATTAATGACAACTATTAAACCAAATAATTAAATCAAAATTTTTTGTATTGTTTATTAAATAACGAATCTTTTTTAATTAAACTCCAAATATTTGTATGTTTACACTTATGTTTACATAATAATGCTTTGTAAAAAAATTGCAATGATCGAAGGCTGGGAACAAAAAGGCCCTTAAACTTTAAGTCACTGAAGCACAAGATATATTTAAGACAATTATTTTACCAAATTAAATCAAATTTTAAAAATTTATTTTGTTTGAGATTAATTAACTAATGTACTACTAATTTTACTGTTTTTGCATATTATTTATTTTGCATTTGTTTTTTATCTTAAAAATTGCCTTATAAAAAAATTTGCACACGGTTCAGAAAACAAGCATTTTTCTATAATCTAGTTTATATTATATAAGTTTATGCTAAAGTTTTATCTTTATCGGTTACTTGGTGGGCTATTAGTGGCATTCTCTATAATTGGCCAGCCGATAACTTTCCAAAACGTGATATAGTAAATAGTCATCGGCTAGCCACTTTTTGCGGCTACCGCTAATGGTCCACTAAGAAACCGGTGAGCCAAACTACAGTGGAGCACTCAAAATGCCTATATAAGTCCATTGTATGTACGTCATAAAATGTTTGCAAGGAACGTATTTTAAAGATGCAGAAATGCAGGTGATCTATTTGATTGTTCCTAATTGGATTAATATAGTATAAAGGAATCTCCAAATGGTTTATTTTTAAAGACAAAACAAAGTTTATTATTATTATAAAGTAGTTACATATAAAAATATTTAAGGTGACCAACGCTCTTTTTTATGAAGGCTCGCGTAAAAATCTTATATTTTAATTAGTTTTCAAACTACGTCCTTCAACGTAAAAAAGCGGACGAAGGTTAACTTGCAATAGCTGTAATCTATTAATGTAAAAGTTTCTGGGGAATTTCTGAGTATTCATGCAAATAACTATTGTAAGCATTGTTATCAAAACACGGAGACATAAAAGTATACGGTGTTTCTGAACTAAAGGAATCATTCGAAACGTCTATTACCTTCTTAAAGCTTTTGTAAAATTTATTTGGAAAACTCATATTTGGCACATCGTAAACTGTTTCAAAGCTACCTTCAATACTTTTTTTGTGTTTAGTTTCTGGAATCTCGGAGATCCCGAGATTCTCGAAGGTTATATCATTTGTAAAAGAAGATATTCTTGTGTAATCCAAGGATAAAGTTTGTTGTGCTAACACTCGGTTTTTCAGTTTACTATCAACAGATCGTGTTCTTGATCGAGACTGATCGCTTTCGTTAAAAATGGACGAAAATTTATTTCTCATTTCAATCAAACTTGCACATCCTTTTGTTCTCATTGAACTATTCGGAAAGGAGTGTTTTATCGAATTTTTTTCGCAAAGAGTTTTCTTTTTTATTTTGTCATTTACTTGCAGATTATTGTTTTTATTAAACTGTTTAAAAAATTTTACTTCGTTGTACGTAAACTTTAGATGTTTGTGCTCTGCCATTTTATTTCTAAAAACAATATACTTAGCAGCTTCCATTTCATCTTCGTTCAACGAAATATTTTGTTGAAATTCTTGTAACTGAATTAAAACATTTTTTACTGAAAAAGAATGAAACTCATAGCTATTAGCCCTTTCAACGGCAGCGATTGCTAAATCTAATTTGCTTGACTTAATAACCAATAGCCTCTGATTTGAGATCGCTTCAAACTCCTTAGGAATTTTTTTAAATTTGGATGTGTCAGGAAATGTTACTAAAAATGGAATTGTCTCTTCAGCCATTATTTCAATAAGTGGCAGAGTTTTTGAATAATCAGGAGTTCTGCATATTCTAAAATCACCAAGCGTATCCAAATTTATTCGGTAATTTTCAAGTTCGGGGTGTGTTATAACGTCTATATAATCTTGATCTCTGTTCCGAAAGGTGGTTTTGGGTAGTTCCATTAATTTCCCCGGATTTAAAACCTCCCCGTTAGATGCAGTAAATCTTCTTAGATTAGTTATCCATTTAAGTTTATACTTTTTACAATAGTTTATAACTTCTTTCAAACTATTTAGTTTAAACGAATTTAAGATTGATATGTAGAAAACAGGTATAGGTAAGCGAGTTGGTATTTCTATCAAGTTTGAAGTCTCTGTGACACATTTCACTTTTTCAACTGGTAGTTTGCCAACAACTGTTGCAGTTTTTGAAGCAAGTTCACGGGGGCCACTATCCGGCAAAAAATTAACAGTAAAAGGAAACGTGATTTCATTTATTGCAGTTTCAAGACTAAGTATTTCGTTTTTACAATGATCAACATCATTTTTAGGTGTTTTTAATTTGCATGGTTGGTGAACAAATTTGTTAATATTTTCAGGACAAGTAAAAGCCTTTAATTCTCTAATCAAGTTTTCTCGAACGACTGTAAACTCATTGCGTTCTATCTAAAAAAACGTTTTTAAAATCTATAAGTATATTAGATTAATTTTTTTTTTTATATTAAAATTTTTATACTAACGTTTATGGTTACATTTAAAAGGAAAGGTTTTATTACAAATGTTATTATAGAGAGCAAGGGTTTTCCTTTATGGAAATATTTTTTTATTATAGCTTATCGTAGCTTTCGAGCAATAAACGCAATGTTTTTTTTACATTAACAAATAATATATTTCTTTTTTTTTTAATTTTGAAAAAATTAGAATTTTTACTAATTTTTTTATTGGATAACAATTTATAAATATACTTCAAAAATTGTCGTTAAAACATATTTACAAATTCGTTAAGTACGAATATACGCCATCAACAGATATTGTTAATAGCTAATAAAATCATAACCAATGCAATCTAAAGTTTAAGAATTGAAGTTTAATTTCATTATATTGAGGTTATCATATGATGAACTTTGATATCCCAAGTTAATTAATCTAGGTCAATTAAAAGCCAAGAGATGAACATTTTATGATGAAGAAAATATGGCAGACATTGTAACATTTTGACATACAAAAGAATGAACTTAAAAAGGGTTTTTTTACGATAGCGCACTAAATTTAATAGTTTTAATTTAAAACAAAAAACAAAAAAAAAACGTTTTTTACATCCCAATTTACATTTATAGCGTTTAAAATAGATGGAACTAATTACCTATCTTGTGGCGAGTATAGTTAAGAAAAAAAAAAAGCAATACATATTGGCAAATAATTGTAAATCAAAAAGATGGTGTTGAAAATAGCTTTTTAACTTTTGTGGCAGTTTTTTTCATCATTTAAGTGAATGAAAGATCTAAAAATGCTCTATATTAGCATTTTAGTTTTATATGTTGGTGTTTATTATTGGTACAATCAATTGTGAATATGAACATTTGCTATTTTTACCAGGTTTGTCTACTTTTATAGACATTTTATAGAAGTATTTTACCGAGTTTTACTTTTAGTATAAACAAAAAACTAGTATCAAAAAGTAATGCATTGTGTATTGTATTGATAACTTTTTAAAAACTCTTTCGTATGTGTATATAAAAAACACAGAATAACCGGATATTTTTTATAAGCAGATGTCAAAATATAAAACATACAAAACTGATGCTATGGAAGGTATCTGTTCCAAAACTAGCTGGTTCAATTTTGGATTTAATTAATGTTCATAAAAATTCAAAAAGGTTCAAAAAAAAATTTTAACATACTTTAAACGGTTTTAAATCTGGTCCAAGAAATATACCATTTACAACTATATTTATGTTTATGACTTTATTTATTCATACTTACTTAAATCTTAAATGTTTTAAGTTACAATAGAAGTGAAAAAGGTTGTTAAACACCAAGAAAAGGTTTAACAAAAGACTCGATTAAATTTAAAGTAAAAGGTTTAGTTTAACATGTTGGTATTGACAGAATAAAAAGTTTCAAAGTAATTCAACGTTACGGTATTATTTATAAAAAAAAGTTGTTGTTTACATTAATATTATTAAAAAAAAAAAAAAATAAACCAATAATTATATCATATTTAAATTGGCTAATCAAATATAAGGCACTAAAATAAAAAATATGTAACAAGTTTAGCAAATTTTTAACCTCTTTTTTCAACTTAAAATCTCTGATTTTTAAATTAAATAAAGACAGAAAAAATAAATAAATAGTAAGTTACGATAAAATTGAAACATAGTTACTTACTATAAAATCTGTTGAATAGCTTAACTTTTTGTTTAATTTTAATTTTTCTCTGAAATTCATCGTGTTGTCGTTAACTTATGTCTTAACTTTAATAAAACGAGGAAGGATGAACAAGTTCGAAACAAAATAACTATCAAAAAGTAATTAAATCTAATATATTGTGCGTACTTGAAAGTACAAATTAATTAAAACTTATTAGTGGGTTTTAATTAAGTTATTGGTGTTGTGTTTTTGTAATTATGAATTCCTTTCTTTTTTTAAAACATTTACAATAAATTTGCGTAGTCTATGCATAGTTAAGTAAATTCTGATAACTGTGAAAACTTATAAATTATGGTTATAATATAAAATGTCCAAATTATTGACGGTTGATGTTAAAGTTAAAAATGTTAAAAATCTTAAAAAAACGTTTACAACGCATGCGCAAGTTACATAACTTTGCTTTTATTGTTATTAACAAGGTTACTATCAGTAACATGTATCAACAAATATAGTTTTTTAAAAATTAAGTATATTATCCTTTAATTGTAATATTTTATGTCAATATCCTTTATACTTATTAAAAAGATTTATAAAATTATCATTTGCTTTTTGTAGTGTAATACAATCTAAGATTTTTTGAGATACTTAGCTAAAAAATTTTTCTACTTGTAATTTTATAAATAGTTTGGTAACTTCAATTATATAATAATCGTTTTTACAAAAAAGATTATTAAAGAATTTAATAGTCGTTTTTAATTTCGAAACTATTTTAATTTCATGCGTATTTAAAGAAAAAATTAGTGACCAACACATCTTTATAGTATGACATTCGATCCAATTGGTTTTTCTTTTAAATTTTAGTTTTTATTTAGGTGCCCCAAGTAGTCCTTACGGTCTAATCACAGAGCATCGCGGATGAGCATTTATTTGGAAGTTCACGCCACCTTCCTAACCGATGTCGCAAAACTTGACGAGAGGTGGGGTTTGAACCAAGAACTCTTTGTTTCTGAGGTAAGCGCGGTACCACTGCGCCAGGGCAGTGAAGCTTTAGCCCAGCATTAACAAACCATTATTATTAGAAAAAACTTGATTGGCAAACAAAAAATATTTTTTTAAATAATCAGGGTAGTTGAAAGTTACACTTATTTCAAATTTACTTGCTTTTGTTTGTTTGGAAGATTAGGTTTTCCATAATAATGTGTAAAAATATTTTATACCATTAAGTGCATATACACTATAAAACTACATACTTTATAGCCAGGGCCAGTGTCAAAAAAGCTAGTATACAGGGCCTGCGCGAGTAGGTGTCACGTGGGGTGCCATTACAATTTTTGCTCTCTAAAAAAAAAAATAGTTAAAAAAAAAGGGTTTCGTTCGTCGAAATTTGCCGACTGACTTGTCTAAAAGGGTCAAATTTGCCGACTAAACGAAAGAAATGTATGTATGTATTTAGGTATCTTAATTTGGTTGATGACATCCATTTAGATGGTTCTGATGGAATCCATGGTTGCATTTAAATAGGAGATATCTCAAACTTGTCTAAAGGATGTTAGTATTTATATTAATAATTAATAAATTTAAGCATTATTAAAATAATAATAAAAGTACATCTTTTGTTTTAATCTTTTAGAATTTTGTAGTATATAGAGCTCCGAAAAGAGCCTTTTAGTGTATATGTACGAGATTGGGTAAAAGGTGACTCTGAAGGTATTTGCAAGAGGCGAACAAACCACAATACCTTTATAAAAACATTTAAATCGTATTTGTTTTGAGATTTTTTTTTAAGCATCAATTTTTGCCATAACGGAACATTAAACAATTGCAATGCAATATTTTTTAATCATTATTGATTGTTATCCCTACGAATTATTATATAATCTATAGCAGTATTTTATAGTTCATTTTTTATAATTGGTTGAAAGTACAGGTAAGTGCTTACTTTTAATTAAGTAAAGTACACATTTAAAAAAAAAAAAATTTTTTTAAGGTGCCCCAATCACAAAGCACCGCAGAGGAGCACTTAAATAGGAAGTTCACGCCTCCTTATTTACTGATGGCGCTTAATATGTCTAGGGCTCGCTTCGAACCCTAGATCTTATGCTAATAAAGGAAGCGCTTTAACCACGGTGGCACTTTTTACTTAAATTTGTATTTTCAAGTAAAAAAAGTACAAAATTAAGAACTTTAAGAGAATTAAGTTCAAGTTTAAGTTCATTTATATAAAAATAATACGGATGTTGAATTCTAAACTCGCTGTTAACCTCTTTTTGTATGTAAAGTTTCTAACTAGACATGCGATTATTTTTGTAAAACAGGGCAACTTGTTATATTGTTGCGATGCGGATTTTATTATGATTTTTTTTTTAATATGCTTTCTGTTGCACGGTCGTTTAGACTTTAGAAATAAGTGGAAAGTTATTATACGCAAGCGCAGTAGAGTTAAAAATAATTTAGAATTTTAAAAATGGCTACGGATGTAACGTTTTTAAAAACTTATCATTGACAACGAGTAACTTGTTTAATTTTAGATAATTTAATAGGCTTTTAACTATTTTTAAAATAAAATTATTGTGAAAATAACTTGCAGCTTTACTAAGAAATGTTTTAAATAAAATACAAGTCCTCTGAATGTGAATAAAATCTACTTTCAGCTAAAGCTACTTTTACTGTTTTTGTTTATAATCTTTAAACCTTTTTTAAAAAAATTTTGAGCGTAGAAATTTTTAAATTTTTATTTATTCAGCAAGATGAACCTTTTATCTTTTTTGCATTTTTTGCTTTTATGAGGATTCAATTTTTTTTGCAGGGTTAAAATAAAATCTTAATCGTTAACTTTTTGTAACCTGTTGCTACGATACTCCTTTCTGATGTATATATATATATATATATATATATATATATATATATATATATATATATATATATATATATATATATATATATATATATATATATATATATATATATATATATATATATATATATATATTTATATATATATATATATATAAAATATATATATATATATATATATATATATATATATATATATATATATTTTTATTTATATTTATTTATATATAAATAAAAACACAAACAAGTTTTGAACATAAAGCATAACTTTGATAAATTATTTAATTTTTAGATATAAAGCTATATAAAGTGTGTAATATTCGTAATGCAATAGAGACAAACAGAAAAAAAAGCAACATTAGTATAATTTAAAAAATGTAAATTTATTTTATGCATCAAATAAATATCAATCAACACAAAATAAAAGATCAAAATATAATTCAAATGAAAATATAAATATCTTTTATGCATTAAAAACATTTTTCATTCTTTCAATCTTTAAGTAAAAAATATTTTAAATATACTCATATTGATTTTAACAATCTCAAGCTGAAAACAAAAAAAAAAAAAAAACACGAAACACAAAAAATATTTATATCGAGTTCCAAGAAAAAGTCTTTCTGCTTTAGTTTACTTTTCCCTTCTTTACAACAGGCAAGTTTCTTTGTTGAAACGCGAATATGGTTGGAATACTAAAAAAATATATACTATAATATTTGTTTGTTTTAAATCAATTTTTATCATAATTTATTAATTTTGAATCAATATGTACAAAACCAGACTGATGATTCAATCGATAGAATCAAAATGATAGCATTCAATCGATAAAATCAAAAACATAACTAATGGTATTGCTTTGATGCAGGCAATACAGTTGATTTATTTGAGGTTATTGACTAAATCAAAAGCCTGGAATAATAACATTCAAAATTTTGATCATAGATAAGTGTGCATAAATATATAATGTATGTATGCGTATATATATATATATATATATATATATATATATATATATATATATATATATTAGGGTCTTGTGAATTGCTTCGATTCGTGAATCAAGTGTCGCTTCGATTCGAGTCGAAAAAAAAAAAATTCAAGTTTTTTCAAATCATATTTTTGCGAATTATTTTGCGAATATTGCTGGTTTTTTTAGATTTCTAAAGCTAAAATGTAATTGAAATGGGTTTTTCAAACCGGGGGAAGAAAAAGTAATTGAAAATAGTTCTAACATCACTTTAAAACAAACGCCAAAAATATAATCAGAGCAAAAAGAATTTGTTCAAAAAAATATTTTTATCTTTTTGGAAAAAAAAACAAACTTAAACTTGGTTTTCACGAATAGCTGATTCGATTCATGATTCGATTCGCGGATCAAGAACTGCTTTGAGATTCAATTTGAAACAAAAAATGTCAATTTGCAAGGCCCTAATGTATATATATATATATATATATATATATATATATATATATATATATATATATATATATATATATATATATATATATATATATATATATATATATATATATATATATATATGTTACCAACATATAACAATATTATGTTACTAACATATAAAAATATTATGTTACTAACATATAACAATACTATGCTCTCTTCTTTAAGAATATTGAGCACTCTTTGACAGTCTGTTCAACTCCTTCAGAAGGTTTATCAAAAAAATAGATAAGTGTTTATACTATATATATATATATATATATATATATATATATATATATATATATATATATATATATATATATATATATATATATATTTAAACAATTTAAAAAATGTATTCTACAAAATAGAGTGCTCAATGTTCTTAAAAGAACAGTGCAAATTTCTGATGATTCTTGATGAAACACAGTGTAAAATGAAATAAAATTTTGTTAAGAGATTTTTTACTAATTTATTATATATATATATATATATATATATATATATATATATATATATATATATATATATATATATATATATATATATATATATATATATAGCCACATCGGAAAAGAGCACCATAGCAACAGGTTACACAAGTTTAATGATTAAGATTTTCTTTTAACCCTGCAAAAAAAATTGAATCCTCATATAAGCAAAAAATACAAAATAGATAAAAGGTTCATCTTGCTGAATAAATTTAAATTAAAAAATTTCTACGCTCAAAAATATTTTAAAAAAGGTTTAAAAATTGTAAACAAAAAAACTAAAGTTGCTTTAGTTGAAAGTAGATATTATTCACATTCAGAGATCTTGTATTTTATTTTTAAAATTTCTTCGTACAGCTGCAAGCTATTTTTAAAATAATTTCATGAAAAAACTAGTTAAAAGCCTATTTAATTATCTAAAATTAAACAAATTACTCGTTGTCAATGATTAGTTTCTAAAATCCTGTTACCGTAGCCATTTTAAAAAACCTTCAAAAAATGTAATTTCACTGCGCATGCGTATAATAACTTTCCTCTTACAAACGACCGTGGTTGGTCTTTAAGCAATTAAAAGTTCTTATATTATGAGTTACTTATTAAAAAAATTGAAACAGAATGGAGTAAAAACAACAACGTTTTCACTGGTATTTTTTAAACTTTGGCTGAAAAGTTAACAATCAAACAGGGCATAATTCAAGTAAATTTAATGAAGTAAATTTAATGAATACATAATTCAAGTAAATATAATAAAGAATTATTTAAAACAAATAAGTGCTCATTAAACTTTTCATTGAATGTAAAAATTTAATTTGTGAAATCTTATCAATTAATAAATTGTTAAAAAATCTTACATATCTTACATATAGAGTTGATAATGTTCCTCTAAAAATAAATAATTTCTTATCAATAAAACAATTATTAAAAAAAATCAAACGTTAATTTTTCTGAAAGTAATTTTAAATGCAAATTTGTCGTATTTTCGAAAATCTTATATATTGAAAGTTAAATATTTACTTTCAATATATAAAATTTTAATATCTTAATATATTTTATATAAAACAAATTTCTTAATATTAAATTTAAAAAAATTTATATACTTTTTATTTATTCATAGTTTTATCACTAAAAACTAAAAGCAAAATAATAATTATAGTATACTTTATAACACAAAACATAAAAAATTACATTTTTTCTTTTTTTTTAATGTCATAAATGTCAATCGAAAAATATTTTAGCATAAACTGCTTTATTTTTTAAAATTCCAAGCACACTTTTAAAACAAATATGACATACTATAATTTACTGCATACAAAATATACCCATCAGTCAACCAAAACTAATAGACACAGTGGCGGATAAGGACTTCTTGGGGCCTGGGGCTATTTTTGTTTGAGGCCTTTTTATGGGATAGAGCCTAAAAATGACCTTAAAAAAAAAAAGAAAAGGTCCTCTAAAATTTTTTGGGGCCCCTAAATTTTCGGGGCCCGGGGCTATAGTACCCCTAGCCCCCCCCCTTGATCCAGCACAGAATAGACACTTAATGTAGTTTCTATTTCAACACCATGCACCTACAGCAAACGTCTCAGCCTAAATCCAAGCCAAATGATTTAGAAAAATTGTCTTATATAAATATATGACGAATGACATATAGTGATATAAGACATACTCATATTATGAATAGTAATTAAAACAACAAGCGAAATAAATTATGATTTCGAGTGAAAATATTATACTTTGAAGACTTGAAATAAACATTGTTATGAATATACTTAGATTTCTTTTAGCTACCTTAACATTTAATTAAAAAAAAAAAGTTGTTTTTTTCATTAAATTTTTTCATTAAAGAACTAGAATAATACTTTCAATTTGTAATGAAATGAGATCTTCTAAACCAGGGGTCGGCAACCTGTTTTAAGTAGAGAGCCATTTTTCCTTTATCAAATTTTAAAAAACTTACCGAGAGCCGCACTATTGCTTGCGTATATAACTGAAGATTATTATCAACAATTTATTATTTTATGATATTCAATAATATTTAAATGTCTTATATATTATATATGTCTTTTACATACTTTAAAGTATATAAACAAATAAATGATTAAAGCAGAAAATTTAAAACATGCAAATCAATTTGTAAGATTTTTTTGAATTGATTCACAGATTTATTTTACATCAGATTCCTATATGAAGGTTTTTAGTATTAGACAACTTTCAAGGCTAACACTATTGAGAGAGTATCTTAAGTTACTTTTGCAACGTTTTTTGATTTCAAATTTATTAACTGAAGTTCAAGTTGAGCATTATAGACCTTTTGAAGCTATTTAAAAATTATTTTGTTGGTTTATATTTACAGTAAATGGATTTTTCGAACATGAATAAACCAATTTGATCTTTCCCAGCAAACAAAAAGATATCTAAAATGCATCTAAAAACTGATCTAAAAGATGTCGAAATTCAGGTCTAGAACGGGACATAAATAGACGTCTATCTTATAGACGTCTTTTAGATGCATTTTATTCAACACAAATAATTGCCTTAGATGCATAAAAGATGTGAAATATACATCTTACAGATGCATATTAGATGTATAAAATACGTCTCTTAAATAGATGTCTAAGGCGCGTTTAAAAAAGATAAATAATAGATAATTTTTTAGTTAATAATAGCTCTTTTATGCATCTAATATACATCTAATATACATCTTTAAATGTATATTTCACATCTTTTATGCATCTAAGGCATTTATTTGTGTCAAATAAAATGCATCTAAAAGACATCTATAAGATAGACATCTATTTATGTCCCATTCACGACGTGAATTTAGACATCTTTTAGACCAGTTTTTAGATGCATATTAGATGCATTTTAGATATCTCCTTCTTTGCAGGGACTTGTTTGATACAAAGGTGTTACAGCGGTTAAATTAGTCATAAAAAAGGATTAAATTAAATAAGTAAAGAAACATTTTTACTAACATTACTTAATTTTTATTTCACAAAAATATACATAAGAAACTATATTTTTGCATTGCCGTCAACATTTTCTTCCACGTCGCCGATATCTAAAATATATACATTAATGACATTTAAATGACTTTAAAAGACATGTAGAATTCTGAATCTATTTTTATGAAATATTATATATATATATATATATATATATATATATATATATATATATATATATATATATATATATATATATAAATTATATATATATATGAAATATATATATATATATATATATATATATATATATATATATGTAATATATATATATATATATGTAATATATATATATATATATATATATATATATATATATATATATATATATATATATATATATATATATATATATATGTAATATATATATATATATATATGTAATATATATATATATATATATATATATATATATATATATATATATATATATATATATATATATATATATACACATACAGTATCGGACAAAACCAGTGCAACCAAATGATGCTAATTTAGTTTCTTTGTATAAAAGTGCTGTATTTTTTCAATTTAGAGAAATAACTATGTAACTGTATAGAGACAACGTTCTTCAAATTTTATTCATCACAAAGTTCATTATTTGTACACGAAAATTAATAAATTAATCAAAAGTATTAAAAAAAGTTGATTTTCTTCTGGACAAAACAAGTGCAACTCCACAAAATGTTGACCAAGCTGTATTCATATCAATATTTTGTGGTGAATCCTTTGTTGTCGATCATAGCCTTGCATCTTTAAGGCATAGATTTGATCAGGTGATCAATAAAACTTTGTGAAATCGTTGCCTAGGCCTTTTGGATTTGTTCAAACAGTTGATCCTTATTACGAACACATTCATGATTAACTCTGCGGTTGACAATCTCCCACAGGTTCTCGATAGGGTTAAGATCCGGAGATTGAGGCGGCCAATCCATCACCAATAGATGGTTGTCTTGAAACCACTGATTGACTACTTTTGCAGTGAGTTTAGGATCGTTATCTTGCTGAAAAACCCATTTTATTGGTATATTCCATTCAGCATGAGGTAACATAACATCTTTCAGGATATTTTTATACATGAAACGGTCCATTATTCCATCGATTCGATGTATTGAACCTAGACCATTAGCAGAAAAACACCCCCAGACCATTACATTGCCTCCACTATGCTTCACAGTATATATATGTATGCTGCAAAATGGCACTTGTCAACGAAATTCTGCCTGTGTGCTGTCACCTGTCAGCTGATTGCTCATATCATGGTATGCTATGACTCCAGACTCCTGAACTGTTTGCTGTGGTAGTATAGTTCGTTTTATTTTTTAGACATAAAATTAGGAACACTTTTTAGCATTGTTCGATGTTGGTTGCAAATGTTTTGTCCAATACTGTATATACACATATATATATATATATATATATATATATATATATATATATATATATATATATATATATATATATATATATATATATATATATATATATATATATATATATATATATAAACAAGAAGATTTGTATCTCAACCAGATACAATAAACAAAAAATTTAATAATACAAGTTCCTTTAGTTTTTTATGAAAAAACTAAAGGAACTTGTATTATGGATACAAAAATTCTAGCATGACACAAAAAAGTCGAAGAATATCTTTTTAATACAGATATCAGTTTTGTAAATACTATTAAAACTATACCTCGTATAACACTCCATATATTTACTAGATTTTCTATGCTTATCTTTTCCCCATTTCCTTTTCGATTAAATTTGGACTGTAACTGATTCGAAAATAACCTGATAAATATTTTAACAATAAACTGAAATATATTTATAAAGATTTTTACTTTAATCTAGGTAATAAATTAAAATATATTTCAATATATGAATGCTTAAAATTATGAAAAGTAAAAGCATTAAATTTGAAAATAAAATGCTAACCAAGGTTTAGCATTACACTTAAGCACACAAACAAACTTAAACACCTACAGTGAAGCTCCCGAATTTATCAAATTGTCATGTTAAAAGTAAATCTATAACAAATAACGGTTAAAATGAATTGCTTTTGGTCCCTTTTAATCATATTTCTAATAATTAATAAAAACATAATCATTTACCTTTTCATGATCAAAAAAAAACATGTTCTCTTGGCTTTCTACCACCAATCTTTTTCAAACTACCAAGCTGAAATAAATGTAATAAAAACTAGTGTAACTTAAATTTCTTTACAACATATTGAGTCTAACACAAGCTGGTTATTTTAGTTCATTTACAAATACTTTTCATTTAGATTCTAAACTAGTAAACCAAAATTAAACAAACTTATTAAAAATTAAGATAATTAGGTATTACCAAATTAGTATACTCAGTTTTATCTTTTAGTTTATTATCCAGTGTAACCACTTCGTCCACTGATTCTAGCAACTTCACCCCAGTAGCCTGAAACTTAATTTCTATAACTTCTTTTAAAAGAACTTTTATTTCTGCAAGCTCGTTGAGAATAACATTTTGCATCTCTACAAACAAGAATAAAAAAATTTATTAACATATTTAGCTCATAAAACCAAATAGCAAAACAATGAAATAAGAACTTTAAAATTCAAATTATGCTTGAGTAACTCAAACTAAAATTCCAAAAATACATGTAAGTTTTTTAATTACTCCATCGCAGAAGTTGCCATAATATTTTGGAAAACCTACTTTTTAAATTAGCTAAAACTTTATCCTGTAAAAAGTTACGATATTAAAGAATTTTGTTTAACTACTAAAGGTAAAATGCTACACACATGATTTATCGGATCACAATATTATAAATAATCCATTTCTATTCTTTTATACCTATCTTTTACAATTATTTTAATACAAAAACAAATTAATAAAAAAGACCTCCACATTAACATTCAGTGGTGTAAAAACCAAAAATACTCATATTAAAACTTGAAACTCTTTGACAATGTGAACTTTGCTTAATTTTATTCTGTTCATCAATAAAATCTGAAGAAAAATTATCTTCTTTAATCTTTGAATCTGATAACAACTCTATTCAAAAGAAATAATTATAATTAGAACTATAAATAATCCCTCAACCATACCTGCTACTTAATTTAATTTTTCAACCAATTTTATACTTTCAATTTCTGAAACTAAACAATTTCAGCATGCTTTCAATCAATTTTCAATTTTCATATCAAGTTGATTAAAGGATTATTTAATACAATAGAATGTTGTCAATCATATAAATATATGTAACCAATTTAACAACATTACATATAATAGGACACCCAAATAGTTAAAATAAAAGGAAAATCTTAGTAATACATAAAAAAGACTAATAGCTAGATAGATATTATTCAGATCAAATTAAACAAGAACCTATTTCAGTTTATAAACTATTAAGAAAAAAATATGATATTTGTGTTATACTTTTATCATTGGGCTTATTCATAATAGGTGGCGGAGGTTCTGGCAATGAAGAGCAGTATGATTTGCTATTCTTATTTATAATGCTTTCTTTAACATATATCTCATCTGATGTAGAAAGTTGTATTCTTTACAACATGAAAATGAATACAATTATAAAATATTTTGCTACAAAAAAGTAATTAAGTTACCTTTAAAAAAAACACAAAACAAGTTAGATACTGACTATCTGTTATCTTATACTTTATCAATGGAAATTTGTGCCATTCTTTTGTTGACGAAAGGTTGTTTTTCAGTGCATGATTATAGTTTTTTTTTGGGACAATAAATTTGTTGCTATTCTGTTATTACAATAAACTTGTTGCTATTCTTATTTTTCAATCCACTTGTTTAGTGCATAATTACTTGGTTAGAAAAACATGCAGAAAAACTTTCCTTTAAAGTTGGGTTATGCTCATACTCATTAGGCTTTTGGTTATAAGAGTATTTATTGTACAAAATCAATGACTCATGATGGTCAAAATATTCTTTTAGATTTTCGCAAGATAAGAAATCATTTCTTTTAGAAGTTCCAACATTCGATTTTTTTTTCTATATGTACCTATATTTTATATGTTTCTATATTTTCTATAGGTACTGATGAAAATTCTAGTATTTTTTAATATTCTTTTTGGACACGTCTACTGCGTCTCTTTTCGTATGCCCTTTTTGTAAAAGACATAAATGAATCTTGGTTCATCGATAAAAACGATAAGTGCACAACCAATAAAATAATCTTTTGTGTTATTGAACAACACTTTTGTAATATTTCTGCAAAATAAATTTCAAATCACAAGGATTTTAGCAAACATTCTAAGCATCAAATCATCGAAATATTTTGTGAACTATAATAGCATGTTATTTTATTATTTAAAATTTATCAAAAGAAATAATCATTGATGTCTTCCTTAGGTTAAAATCTTCATGCTTTTTTCGAAATAAGTTTTCGAAGGGTTTTTAAATGGCGGTCATTTATAATTATCGCTCCGTAAAATTAGTTAAAATTTTTTTCTTGTTTTTATAACAAATCTATAAAAGACATCTTATAGACATCTAAGTTTAGATGAAAAAAAATTATCTATGCACGATCTATTTTATGCATCTAATATGCATCTAAAACAGAGCAAAAATAGTATCTCTAGAATCAGACGTCTTTTCGATCTCTAATATACGTCTAAAATATACGCATCGGCAATAGATACTAATTAGACCAATTTTAGTTTATCTCCTGCTTATAAAGCAAGCGCTCTAACCACTGCGCCATGGTAGCGGTAAATTTATTGATATTGTTTAGATGAGCTGCCATAACTTAAGTAAAATAAACTTTTTGTAACCAATTACTATTGTTTAACTCTTGGTATTCAAAAAACTTTAAATATCAATGCAGAGACCAAAACATTTAAAAACACAACCTCCCCTCCTCCTATATTAACAATGGACATTTTTATACCACTACAGATCAAAATATCTTTCGTTAACTTCATAAACAAATTTCCCAAAGATTTATTGTTTTTGAGACGATTTTATTTGACTATTTTTACTACCAAGTTTTTAAAATCTCGAATTTAAATCTCGAAAATAAATGTTTGGTAAAAATACACTGCTGTTTAAAAAGTAAGCCGCGGCAGGATTTAAAGTTGTAAGACTGGTTTTAATTTCTAATCACTAATTACAGTTATAATTACAGTTATCCCACTGATTGTATTTTGTGTTTAAGCAATTAACTTCAAAATACAGTTTTTAAATACAATATTGACATTTTTGCGCGCAAATTTTATTCACGCTCTTTTGTGAAACTAAGTGTTTGAGTAATATTATTAATTTTTATTTAGGTGCCCCAAGAAGCCCATCGCAAAGTACCGCGGACGAGCATTTAGTTGAAAGTTTACACCTCCTTTCTAACCGATGTCGCAAAACATACTCAGAAGTGGGGTTTAAACTTTTGTTTCCTGAGTTAAGTGCGCTACCACTGCGCCACGGCTGATATGATGTAGTTCCATAACTTCAATTCATTATTTCATCGTTGAAGAAAAATTAAAAAAATATATTTCTATTATAATAACTTCAATTTTTTATTTGTTTTAATAATAATCAAATATATTTAATTCGGACATGCTGAAGCGCCGCACAATTTGAATAAATGAGCAGCATGCAACTTGCGAGCTGTGGGTTGCCGACCCCTATTCTAAATTTTCAAATAATCTATTTAAATTGGAGTAGTGGAACGTGGCACCCAATGGCATTGTGCAAAAAAAGGTATAAAATTAAATATTTTAAAATGATAAATACCATTTAAATAACGTTCCCTTAGAGCGAATCACTGACTGACATTTGTTTTGCTAAACTCAATTAATGGCATTCGAAAACTTATGTATAACTTGGAATTTTTCTGTACCGATAAAATGGAAAGTTATCCGTGGCGCAGTGGTTAGAGTTCTGGCTCAGAACCTAGAGGTCCGAGGTTTGACACCTGCTCCAGCCCAACAAACGACATTGGTAAAGAAGGAGGCGCTCTTCCACTCTTAAACGCTCTTCCGCGGTGCTCGGTGATAAGACCGTAAGGACTTTTTGGGAGCACCTAAATAACTATAAAAAAAAAAAAAATCTTTTTTTTTTTACTTTTAAAGTTGCAATCTAAAATGTAATACAGAATTAAAACGAATCGTAAATTAAAAAAAAAAAAGAGTAATAGTAAATATTTAAGTGAAAAAACGTTAGAAAAAAATGTAGAAATAAGCCAACCACTGAATTATAATTTGCAACAATATCTTTAACATCAATTATCTCTGAACTTGTATGTGTCAATTAGTAATTTGCTTTGTGAATTATTTGCTTTGTGTTTGCATTACCATATTCCATTGTGTAACTTTTTGTATAAATAGCTTTGGTTTTGAGGTTAAATAATTAAAAAGAAAATTTAGTAATTTATATTATAAAAGGTAACTAACAAAATCAATAAACAATCTTAATTATAAAGCTATTAAAGATTAACTTTAAAACAAAAGTGCGGTTAGACGAACTTTTACTAGTAAACGATTTTCAATTTTAATCTATTTCGAGAAATCTGTTTTAACAGTACATTATTCCATGAAAGTTTTTATTATAGGTTGTTCGCACTTTTTATGGCTACAACTCAGTAACAGATGCAGCATTTTTGATGTTTGATGAGCTAACTTCCGTACATGAGTTTGCTTCATGTCTGGAAAATTATTACCATATAAAGTTTGAACCCTCTCAATTTGAAGGGGTTACAAATTTTACGTTGTCACACTTTTTCAATACTAAGAGATTATTCTATGAAACTTAGAATTTATAGATGAAAATAAATTTAGTAAAAAATAGTGAAAAAATTATTTTATTGATATTTTGTTTCATGTTTGGGGCTAATCGGTGAGAATTGCTGCATCCATCACAGCTACAACTAAAATAATAATAAAAGTTACTAAATAAAAAAATAGAATCTATATTTATTTTGATTTAAATTTTTTACTTTTCTAAAATTCATTGCAAAAAGTTTCTTTTTTCTTTTTTCTTTTTTTTTCAACTTAAATGTAAACAAGTTTATTGTAAACAATTATTACTTTTATTATTTCTAGCCGGACTTTATTTTTAAAAAAGTAAAAAATAATAGTCTTTCTAATAGGTTGAGCGTTTTATGATATATCTGGAGGATAAATATTTAGATGAATCTCATATTAAAATGTTAATTTGAAAAGCTCAAACGTTTCACACATTATTTATTAGTTTTAAGTTTTTTATTTAGATTTTTTTACACGCTAGTAAAGCTAGTAAATGACGTCACAAGAAAAAAAACTTGATTTGATTGGTTAAATAATTTTAGCATTGGTCACTTTTACTATCTAATGCCTAATATGTAAATCCTATTCTAAATAAAGATAGTGTAACCATATAATCTTTACAAATGTTTGATTGGAGGGGATTTAGATGACGCCTGCGTACGTCAACGACTCAAAGTCATGCAAATTTCTACTTTACCTCAGATGTTAAGTGACGTGAGTGTATGACGCATTTTTCATCACAACCTGAGCATCCAAGAAAGCGTAACAAATAACTTGTTGAAGATTATTTACTATCACGAGGGTAATAGAAATAGTGAGTTATTCGATAAAGTTCATTGATTATTCTTTGTTTTAAAAACTTTTATATAGTGAATAATGATTCTATATTCTACCCTGGTCATAGATAAAAATATCTGTTGAATGAAAGTAATCTTAACTTGAGTAACTTATGGTGATACATACTTTATATAGTTAAAGGAGACATACTTTATATAGTTAAAGGAGACATACTTTATATAGTTAAAGGAGAACTATAAAAAGCATGTTTAAACTCTTAGGACAGTTGACAAGAAAGCCACCTTTCAGAACTATTTTGTGTGAAAATTAAAGTGTAGGTTTTTTTAATGAATTTATACATAATCCATATAATGAGTTACATGAATATAATGAGTTACATGCATATTTATATATATATATATATATATATATATATATATATATATATATATATATATATATATATATATATATATATATATATATATATACATACATATACATATATTATATATAGTTATAGTATATAGTGTTAGAGTCTGTATGTTTTATAACATTAAAGTAAAAATCTATATAATCAATTAAACAACAAAGTACCAAACTAATTTAAAAATTTAAAAGTATTACCATATACAAGAAATTGTTAAAGAATAGATTAGGTGAATAGAAGTAAAAAAATAAGGAACTATAAACTATGTAGAAAGTGTCTTTTGTAAATATACTCTCTTTAGGTATTAGCTTAAACTTATTTGAAGTGAAGTACAAAATTGAAATACATTCATTATTAAAAAAATGTAATATTAAATAAATGTAATAAATAATATTAAAATAAAGTAAAATAGATTAAACTACTTGTCAACTCAATATGCATTTCTAAATACTAAATGAAGGGAAAAAAAGTAAAAAAAAAAGAAAAGTATTTTAATTTGCTTTATAAACAAAATAAAAAAAAAACATTATGTTAAGAAAATGACATGTACTTTTAAGTATAACAACATTTATTTTTATGAAATATATGCTGACAATCTTATTCAATTAAAAAATGTTTGCATTTAAAGAATACTTGGAATTTATATTAACACCAAGCTCAAATAAAACAAATAGACTAAGAAATGGTTAAGCCTAATTATGTTTTAAGTATGTTTGAGAAACTATTAGGGTAATGTAGCAGAGTAGGGGTGTAAAATCATTTGATTTTTTTGCTTGATGTGCTTTCGTGTTGTTGACTTGCTTAAAGTGAAGACTTTTTAATATAAACAAATTGAATTTTTTGGGGCAAAAGGGACAGTTTGTCATGGGCAGCAGATATCCAAGGGGCGCCAAGTGAAGAAAAGGTACTTAAAAAAAAATAAAAAGGTCCTTCACCTATGATATAGAGAAATTTTGATAAATAAGGGCGCCAATCATGGTTGTTGTCCCAAGAAGCCTGACGACTTTCGGCGGCCCTGCATGCTGCTACAATGAAGTGCTGCTACATTGACTATCTCATAGCCTGCTTCTACAAGGAAGTGCCACTATATCAACTGAGGGTTTGGCAGCAATCTTTTTTCATTTATTATTTCAGATAATATTCCTAATGTTTAAAAAAACCTCCACTGACAAGCACAACAAGTGAAAATAAAGTGATTTTTCGCAGCTATTTTGCAACATTACCACTATTAGAAATAAAATGTGTGCATACTTCTCAAAATCGATAGAGTAGACTGCTGAATACTTTTCATCAGTTTGGAATCCATTCTTTAGGAAGGACACTTAACAGCGTGAACAGATACAAAGGCGTGCTTCCACAGCTGCCAAGTCTTAACTACTTAAACTAAATGCAGATTAAGAGGTGACTTTATCCAATATTTTGAAATTTTAAAGAATTTTAATATTGTAAAGTGACAAATTTCTACTCTCACCTTGTTAACAGTTGGTGGTCTGTGTAGTGCTAAACAAATAGTTTAGCACATCCATAGTGATGATCTGAAATTCAACTTGATTTTTATGCAATCATGTTTAGAATTTTTATGCAACCATGTTTTGCATGGTTAAAATCATCTACCTGATTATGAAGTTGTTTCAAAGTTGATGAATTTAAAAACTAACAGCACTTGTTTTAAAAACTACAACACTTGTTTGTCTGTCTACTAGAGCCAGGTCAGATTCCCATTTTATAGAAGTTTATAACTATTATTGTAAATAAACATTAATATTGCCTATATAATGTTAGTTTAAAAGTGTAAAATTTAAATTTTATATAAATGTATACTTTTGTATGTATGTATAGTTTTTATTATTATTGTTTTTATATGAAGTTTAACATCTATGTTAATATTTTCACTGGAACAAGTAAAATAATTTTTATTATTTTTAATATAATTTCAGAAGTCTCAATACTATATATCTTGTCACACTTTGTCTGGTGAATTTTTTTTATGCTAGATAGTTTTAAAGTAGTTGATAGAATTATTGAATTTATTTTAAACACTTTTTCACAAACATACACAAGACTATTTAAATAATTTCTTTCTTTTTTTTCATCTCTATATAATATCATTTTTGATGACTTGGGACATTCTGGCAAATTGTTTATAAGTAAAATAATAATGGGACTAAAATTGGTCTTTGTGGTATTCCCAGTGTTATTAAAACTTTCTTTTTGTTAAATCTTTTTTGTTATTAATACTACTCAAACTCATTTCTAGATAATTATTATCTTCTCATTCTCTTAAGAAGAAAATTTTGGCATATAGTATGAAAACCCTTTGTCAATACACTATTTACAAAAAAAGTTTTACATTAAATGTTTCATGAAACAACTGCCATTTTAATATTTCAAGTAGTTCCTAAGAGTTACAAGAGTTTTAGTTCCCTTTTGGTCTATATTTATTAAATACTATGATCTATCATTTTTAAACTAAGCTTTTTTCATCAAGAAATGTTTTTGTTTTTTTTTATAGCAGTTTATATGTGGCAGCAAGAGAGGCTCCTACAAAAACACCTGTTAAATTTGATTTGCACTTTGAAAAATTCACATCTTGAGTTAAAATATTTTTCTTTATAATAAAGACTTGACTAACAGATGTTGTAAGTTGCAACATCTAATAAAATAAATTATGATATTTTTTCGAGTGTCACTTTTCTTCAGCAGAACAAATATATTTTTTAGGGGTTCTTCTGTTCTTTAGAAGAACAGCTAGTAAAGTTAACAGTGTAGTAATTTTTGTTCTTATCAATAATGACACCTGCAGATGTTCTGAGAATTTCCTCTGTCACTCTCTACAATAAAAACTGACAAGGAAATGTTGTCGCATGTTACCAGTTAGCTTCTTGGTGTGTGGTTGTATCATTGGGTTTTCTGCTTGATTAGTAAGTTACTCTTTCATTCTTTTAATTACAAACTTACTGTGTCAGTCTTAGTAGTGAAGTTCTAAGCAGTAAAGCTAGGTTCTGAAGTTCCAAGTCATCTGAGAGCTGTTTGTTTGGTGCTGAATATTCTGACTGAAGTCATTCAAATACATTTAGGCAAAAAAAATTTCTTTTTTTTTCAATTTGGCCCTAATTTATAAAATAATATAATTTTTGTATTTTTCAGTAATTGCGTTAATGTTACTGTTGTGAGTGAAAGATTGATTATGTGCGTCATTTTTGTTTAGAATCATTAAGCAAACAAGAAGTCAGACATAACAAATAAAATAAAATGAATCAAATGAATGACAATAATAAAAAAAGGTAAATCTAATAAAGAGAAGGCAAATTGAATGGCAAATTAAAAATATCTACAATTAATGGTTATGGAGTAATTTGTTCCAATAAGTTATATACTATAATGAATTGAGAAATAATTATATCAGTGTAACAGATTTTAAAAGCTGCACAACTTAGCACACTGGATCCAGCTTAATCTGGTTTTGCCACATTTCTAATGCTGAGCTTTAAAATTATTATAATTAAATTTGCATACTAATTTGTTTTGTTTTGTTAAGAATATATATATTTTTTTTGGTTTATTGTATTAGACTGTTTGTTTTTATTATTTTACCTAGTTTTTTTTTAATTTTGTTTTACTAAATAAATTATTTAAAGGGAGGTGCATTGACTGATTAAAATAAAGGCTTAGCAGAGTATACAATGTACATTTACTGATTCATTTAGCCGTAGTTGCAGCATTGTGTACATTGACTGAGCGTTTTGTTTTGGAAATATGCATATATGTGTGAATGTGTGTATAAATATATATACCCACTCAGTGGTCAAAATAGGTGCCAGATATCAGCGTCCCTTGGACTTTCTACAAGACCCATCTGAGGGAGGCAACCAACTATTATTTATTTTTTCTGATAAAATGAACAATGGTTGGTTGCCTCCTTTTAGCGGGTCCTAAAAAATCGTCTTAAGAGTGCTGATATCTGACACCTATTTTGCCTTTTATATATATATATATACAGCTTTCGGAATTAGCGTCAACATTTGGTAATGCCAACCTAACTGTCGAGCTAAAAGTGTTTGAGGTTGACAAAAAATCACTGACCTCATTTCTATGTTTTATGATTAGAGCTTTGTGTCAAAAAATTTTTACCAACCTCTAACTGTTCAAGATCGGCAGTTTATTGCTGAACTCTTTTTTTCTATTTCCGAGGGCTACATATATACAAGGGCTATATATATATATATATATATATATATATATATATATATATATATATATATATATATATATATATATATATATATATATATATATATATATATATATATATACAGGCCTCGGTGGGAAGCGAGAGCTTTAGCTCTTGCCCTTACCCACACTCCCCTAAAATGGTTCACAAGAACAATTTACGGATCTCGCAAAAATATAATTTACTCTCTCAAAAGTTTAATTATCATTGTAACTAAAATAAAAAACGCAGTCATTTTAATTATTATTTTTAATAAATCCTAAAATGTCTGCATTCTATTACAATAAAAAAATATAAAACTTTTTTTATAAGCAGTAAAAAAAACGCTCGTCTAAAGAATTTAGAGGAGCAGCTCACATAGCTCACCATGCTCATTTTAGGAGAGCTTTTTGCCGCTCTTGCACTCATTTCTTCCCGCTGAGGCCTATATATATATATATATATATATATATATATATATATATATATATATATATATATATATATATATATATATATATATATACACACACACACATACACTCACACACATATATAGTTGATTCCTGGTAAGTCAAACACCGGTTAATTATCTCAAACTGTTTCATTTGGTCCCTTTAAAATTGCTATTAAAATTTTCCAGTTACGTCAAACCTTGGATAACTTGAACTTTATTAAGTTAAACCATTTTTTTTATCCCCTTTCACCAAATTTCTTTAGATAACTCAAACTTTTTGTATGCTTTTTGTATGCAAATTTAAATATTGGTATAATTAAATTTTTTAAAAAAAAGAGTCATCACATATATAACATAAATAACTGTAGCCTAATTTTTTTGTTGTATTTAAATCTGAGCAGAATAAATCATTATCAGACATAAAAATAATGCTATATTAAAACTGTTAAAAGATAAATCATGATAAAACTATTCTCCCACTATTCTCAGGTCATGAAATCTTGTATTTCATCACTTCTGCAAGACTATAACATACCTGTTATAGTCTTGCAGAAGTGTTCTTCGGAGCTGTCGTCTATACTTTCAAAACTATTTAACAAGTGCTTATCAGAGTCTTGCTTTCCAGCCTGCTAGAAAGTAGCATCTGTTATCCCTATTTTTAAAAATTCTGGAGAGCGATCTGATTTGTCTAACTACCGTCCCATTAGTCTTCTTCCTATCATAAGCAAGGTTTTGGAATCTTTAATTAACAAAAACTTAATCTTAAATCTAATAACTTACTATCAATATGGATTTCGATTTTCTCATTCTACAGCTGATTTGCTAATAATAATAACCGATAGGTTTTATTTTTATAGAGGTTAAGGCCATCGCTCTTGACATTTCTAAAGATTTTGATAAAGTTTAGCATGCTGGTCTTCTCCATAAGCTTTCTTCTTACGGTGTATCTGGTAACATCTTTAAGGTTATTGAATCCTTCCTTTCCAATCCTAATATCCAAGTAATCCTCAATGGACAGTACTCTTCTTTTTATTCTGTAACTTCAAGGGTTTCTCAAAGTTCAATCCTAGGCCCTATACTCTTTAATTTACATTCAAAAACTTCCACATATTTTCACATATAAAGTGGCATTGTTCGCTGACGATACTACCATTTATTCTTGTCATGATAAGAAGCCAACACTCTCTGATTGCTTGGAGGGGGCATTTGAGCTTGAAAAGGATCTCCTTTCTGCTGCAGCATGGGGCTCACAGTGGCTGGTGAACTTTAATTCAGATAAAACTCAATTTTTTTCAGTTAATTGTTATTGCAGCAATTTAGATCTTCAGTAATGTACTTAATGAGTCATCTACCCCTCATCTTCTAGGATTAACTCTTACTTCTGATCATTCTTGGAAACCATTTATCAAATCCGTTGCAAAATTAGCATCTACTAAGGTTGCTTCTCTTTATCGAGCTCGACATTTTCTTACTCTGGATTCTATTCTCTATCTCTTCAAATCTCAAATCCGGCCTTGTATGGAATACTGTTGCCATATCTGGGGCGGATCTTCTAATGATGCCCTTTCTATTTCAGGCAAGATGCAAAAATGCATTGTAAACAAAGTTGGAACTGCTCTTGCAGCCAACTCCCAACCATTATTACATCATCGTAATATTGCTTCTCTTTCTTTTTCCTACAAATACTATAATGGACACTGCTCTAAAGAGCTAGTGTCTCTTGTGCCATCTAATAAAATTCATTCTCGTGTTACTCAGCATTTATTTAAGCCTCATCCTTTTTTTGTGAGTGTTCCTAAGTCCTCCAAAAATGCTTATTCCTCTAGTTTTTTTTCCTTGAACATTAGCTCTTTGGAATTGGTTTCCTTCATCTTGTTTTCCTGATTCATATAATTTGCAATCTTTCAAGTTGTCTGTCAATTGTTACCTTGCTCTACAATCGTCATCTTTTCTCTTCCAGTATCATCCAACTCTACATAATGGTTGCTTGCAGCCTTGTTGGAAGCGAAGATGTTAAAATAAAATATATACATATATTTTAAATGTAATGCATGAATACAATCTGTAACTTTTTTCATTGAAACATTAGTACAATAGTATAAATCTAATGTATATACTTTAGCATTGACTAAAGAAAAAATGCTATAACTCAAACTAATATCTTATATCAGGCAAAGTTCAACAGCGGTTTGCTTTAGTCAAATATTGGTTAAACCATTTTCCTTGGTCACTTGGAGGTTCAAGTTATCGGTAATTAACTGTATGTGTGTGTGTGTATATATATATATATATATATATATATATATATATATATATATATATATATATATATATATATATATATATATATATATATATATATATATATATATATATATATATATATATATATATATATATATGTATATATATATACATAAACACACATATATCTACTAAAATACTCTGGATTTTTATGGCTCTGATTTTGCAAGCTTAAAATATATTTTAGGATTATGGAGTTAGCTAGACATTCATTTCAACAACCATTAAATGTTGCTCCTAGTTTATCAAATGTTAATAAAACGTCTGTAGTGCTTCAACAACAGTCAGTAATTCAATCAAATCAGCATCAACTACAGCATCAACTGCAAAATATGCATGATGGGGGTATTGAAGGAAAAAGAAGAGAAATACTGGCTAGAAGACCATCATATAGGTTTTTACTTTATATCCTTAATTGTATTAAAATGATTTTTTTTACAGAAGTATTTGTGAATATATTTATTTTCATAATTTTATAGACGTATACTTGATGATCTGGCAGGAGATGGTCCAGTAAAAATGGAAAATTATGATGACACTGGCAGTAGTGGAGAGTCAAGTCCAAATGGAAATAATGAAGAAGATATTAACGGTATAAATCAAAATGCAATTCATCAAGAAAAACAATATCAAAATATACATTTAAATGGAATTGTTTCATCAGTTCAAGGTGGAGAAAATTCAATGAATCAGTTACATGATTCTCAGGTAATAAATAGTTATGATATTTTAAAGTTTTTTTTTTAAGAATATTGAGTAATTCTTTTTTTACTTTAAAAATCTTAATTGTTTGTCTTTTTTATTTTTGTTTTAAATTTGATTTTTTTCAATCGAATTTTTTGTTTAAAAAAGTTTCTTAAAAAAAAGCAACTGTTGCCCACCCCACTCATGGAGAAAAAAAAATTTTTTTTCATGAGTGGGGTTTTTAGTAGTGCTGTTAAAATGCTTTTTAAGTAAATTAATGGTTTTTTACTTTTTAATTAGTGAGGAACTTGTGTTGGAATTAGGATTAAGCACTATTTATGGTTTTTGATAGTGGTGAAAATTTCAGGGAAAATTTTCAGAAAAGTTTAAAATAATTGTTAAATTTCTGGAATCAGAGGGTAATAGAGCGTCTATTGTACCACAAGTCTCATAAGTCACATTTGAAATATCTGATATGTTGTTAATCACTGCTGGCTTTACAACAAAAGTAGTATAACTCCTTGTGTTGAAAAATGTTAAGACATTATAAGACCAGTACACTTTGCAGCTTGATCCAAGATTTGTTGGTCAAGTGTTCATTTAGAAATAGTTTTCGCTGAGCAGCGTGTCTTCAGAATAACTAACTTTTTTTTTAAACATCTTTACTTCCAACAAGGCTGTAAGCAACTACTATTAGAGTTGAAAATTACTGGAACAAAAAAGATAAAATTTATAAAAAAAGATAACGATTAACAGAAGACTAAAAAGATTGCAAATTATATGAATCAGGTAAACAAGATAAAGCAAGCATATTCCAAAGAACTGATGTTCGTGGAAAAAAACTAGAAAAATAAGAGTTTTTGGAGCACTTCATAGTGAATAGTCATAGTAAAAAGATGAGACTTAATTGAATGACGAGTAACACAATAATGATTTTTAGTAGATGGCACAAGAAACGCTAGCTCTTTAAAGCAGTGCCCATTATAGTATTTTTTTTAGAAAAGAGAAAGAGAAGCAACATTACGACAATGTCGTAATGAAATCACTTAATGTATACAAGGGCATAAAAACTTCAATTTTTTTGCCTACAATTTGAAAATGTCAAATGGATTGGTTAAAATTTATGAAAACAAAATAACTTAACTCAAAAATCACTCTATGATGATGATGAATTTGACATTTGAATACTTAAGTGAAGAAAGTGTTGGTTTTTATTGGATTTGATTTTGTTTGATAAAGGGCTAAGAATTAGCGTTCCCAAAGATGTATTTTTATCTAATGCTAATACATCTTTGTGAAAGCATAGTTAAAGTGATCCTAAACCTCTGAGACATGTTGTGTTCATATTAAAGAGAATGTTAAAAAAAAATGTTTGGGCTAAAAATTTTTGATGAAAACAAAAGAATAAATGAATACCAAGAAAAACTTCTCCGTTTTATTGTAGACCTAAAAGTCATCGTAATATATGCTGATATTTTATTGTGGGCCTAAAAGTCAGCATAATATACATTGCAATCTACAGGCTTGATAATTTATTCTCGGTGTAATTAAGGGGATTTACAAAATATTCGAATACTTTTATTTGGAATTAGCATGATTTCGTCAGCATATTATGTCCAAACAAGATCTTTAAATGCTATAATTTTTTTTGCTTAAGGTTTTTATAATATTTAAAGAAACTTTTTTTTTTTATATATAATTTTCAAAACCTTTTTACTACCCGTTATAGTGTATCTAAAGAACACTATTTTGGAGTCTTTAAATCAATTCCTTTAAATCAAAAAAATAGTTAAAATCTTTTGAAAAAGTTTCTTAATTTACTACTGATCCTAGTTCTAATCGGTTCTGACGTATATTAACTATATATAGTTGTCAAAACACAATATTTCTATCAATTTTCACAAAAATACTGGAATTCCGACCAAAAAAGAGCTTATAATTATGGAAAATTGCCAATAAAAGATCAGAACAGATCATATTATTAAACTATAATGTTTATTTCACCTAAAAAACTTATTAATATAAAATCTTATTTAAATTTGGAGGAGCGATTATGATTTTAAGATGATTTAAAAAAAAAAAAAAGAATCATCGGTCTGGATTTTTTTACTACAAATATTTATATTTTATGATACCGCAAAATTTATCATTTTAAGTTTTTTTTTCTTTTCATAATTCACAGACCAGACCATTTAACGGAAAAATGTCACAGTCAACAAAATATCATACAGACGCTCTTTTATTTTAAAAGTGCCTTAACTACACTGAGTTCAAGCGCGTTTTATTCCTAAGAGTTTTAGTACATGACGTCATTGACTTTTGTTTGTTTACATAATCAATCTCTTGCTCAAAAAAAAAAAAAAATGACGTCTTTACCAAACTCTTAGGAATAAAACGCACTTGAATAAATAATCAAGTCTGTAGATTGCAGTGTATATTATGCTGACTTTTTGGCCTACAATAAAATGAAAAAGACAAGCTTTGTCTAAAATTAAAAAGTTAGTTTTTCTTGATATTCATTTATTCTTTTGTTTTAATCAGAAAAATTCTGCCCAGACATTTTTTTATCATTCTCTTTAATATGAACACAACATGTCTTGGAGGTTTGGAATCCCTTTAAGGAATTTCTTTTAAAAATATATATATATATTACAAAAGTTTTATTGAAAATTTTTTAAGTAACCTTTAAGTTTAATATAAAACTAAATTTTCTCCAAAATGAATCGTATTTTATTCTTAAATATTTTTGCAAAAAAATATAACAATTTTCTGATTTCTAATAGAATTCGTTGCTTTATTTTTATATTTTTTTATATTATATAAGAGTTTAATCAGTCATTTAAAAATAATATATTTTCCAAAATTTCCAGAATCTTTGAGCAAATTTTCGTGAAAAATTTCAACAATTTTCATCATTAGTTTTCGAATACTCAAATTACTCAAATTCCCAAATAACTATTTTTTATTTATTCAATTCAACAATATGGTAAAATAAATCATTAAATTTTTTTTTTTTAATGTTTATTAAAATCATTTATAAAAGTATTAACACTCTCACTTTTTTAATTATTGTGTAAGAAAAATAATTTTAATACAAACCATTTACATAAGTAAGCAACATCTCTTATATTTATCGACATCTTATAAATTTAAATCGTTTTAAAAAATTTTAAAGTTTTAACTAAATCGTGAATTAACGTTAAGCATTAAGTATATAACAAATAAGTTTAAATAGTATTTAAATATCAAATAATATTTGCTTTATTCAAATAGTATTTGATGAATATACTCGGTTAAACCCTAATTGGATTTGCAAATACAATCGAAGGCAGTAACAATGATCAGTGTAATTCAATATCAGAATCAGGCTAATAAACACATTTTAACATTCATTCTTAATTCTAAACTTTGTGACCAATAAATAAATAAAGTTAGGTTTTTCATCACTATTTTTAATTGATACTTGTATTTGTCTTGCTACATGCCTGTATGTATATAAGGTGTGATATGGTTTGATGCAGTTGAATTACAAGTGGCAGTATATAAAGTGTTAAAAAAAAACTATAATATTTTATTTGTTACAAATTTCTGATTTTTAGTAATTTTAGTAATTTTAAAAGATAACTTAAATAAATAATTTTTTTTCTATTATTTTGAAATTAAAGTAAAAAAAAAAATAGTTTGCACTACTTTAAAGAGGATTGGATATTTTTTGGATATAACATCTTCACTTCTATCATGGCTGCAAGCAACCACTATTAGAGTTAAAAATTACTGGAAGAGAAAAGATGAAGTTTATAGAGCAAGATAATGGTTGACAGACGACTTAAAATATTGCACATTATATGAATCAGTAAAACAAGATGAAGGAAGCAAATTCCAAAGAACTGATGTTTAAGGAAAAAAACTAGACAAATTAAAATTTCTAGAACATTTAGGAACAGTCACAGTAAAAGGATTATACTTAATAGAATGATGATTAACATGAGATTAAATTTTTGTAGGTGGTACAAGAGATGCTAGCTCTTTAGAGCAGCGCTAGTTATTGTATTTGTAGAAAAGAGTAAGAGAAGCAACACAATGATGTGGCGATTACGACAATGTGACAATGGTTAAAGGTTGGCTGCAAGAGCAAGTACAACTATGTTTACAATGCGTTTTTTAAAAGAAAAAGGGCTTAATTGAAAAATTCGTCCCAGATATGCAACAGTATTCCATACAAAGCTGGATTTGAGATTTATAGAGATGAAGAATAGAATCTAAAGTAAAAAAGTGATAATGAGATGCAACCTTAGAAGGTGTTAATTTTGCAATCGATTTGATATATGTTATATTGTATTCTATATATAATATAATATATAGGATAGAATATAACAATTTTTAAAATATAACAATTTTCAAAAATTGTCTTTCAATACCTCTTAATGTGTTCTATATAATTAAATATTATTAGAAATAAAAAAATTTACCCCAAAAATCTTTGAACATCTACAGTGTTCCTAATATTCAGAAAAAAAATTTTTTCAAGTAAATCAAACATAAAGGAAAAATTATATAAAAATTTCAAAAAAAATTTTTTTTTTTAATCTAAAATTTAAAAAGGTGCAGTTTTACAAGTTATTTTTTTTTTTTTTTTACAAAACAATTATTTTCAGAATTTATGCAATTTTGCTTCTTTTGAGTACCAGTTTGATCTACTTTTGAAAAACTTTTTTTTTTATTAGAAAATAAAAAAAAAATCCAGTAAATGTTCCAGGGCCTTAGGGGTAACTCTGAAAATATATTTTATTCAAAATTTTTTGTTTTGATATTTTAATGTTATTTTATATAAAATATGTTTATATAAAATACAGAAATGTATTTTGAAAATTGTTGTTTTTTGGCCCACCCTATTGGTCATTTGAGAAAAGTAAATTAAAAACTCTAACAAATATTTGTTTATATATAATTACAAATATTGTTTTGGGTTACCTGTTTTAATAACTTTGTGGAAGCTTATTCCTAAATACTTTTATTTGTATATATCGGCTTGTTGTATCTCTTTATGGTACAATAAGCTGTTATGTAGCTCCATTTAAACCTAAAGGGATCAAGACTGCCAAGATAAATTGTGTTTATCTTATTTGTTCATGTTGTTCATATGTTTAATAAAAACGTTAGGTGTTAAATTTTTTGATTAAAACTAAATAATAAATGTATACCAATAAAAATTAAAATTGTCATTTTGACTTTTTTACATTGATTCTAGGAGTCTTTATAAAATATGCTGCAATATACAGGCTTGATAAATTATATCATACATGTTTAATCTGAAAGAATTTCAGTCTATGATATCATTGCAGAGTTTTTTTTTTAAAGATATGAAGCTTGGTCAGGAATTGGGTGCAATTGCACTCTATTTCTGACCACACATATAATATGTAGTTGTAACAACTTGGCCAGGTTTTTTTTTAGATGTTTTGAGAACATTTAAGTTTATGTATGTTTTCATGTAAAAAAAATAGGTTTCAACACACTAAAAGAATTATCTTTGTAACATTAATCTTTTGTAATCAAATGTTTTTATATTAGCAAAATGCTTTGAAACAAAGCGACGATTTACTTTTATTGATTAAATTGATAAATTTTATTGAGATTTTATATGATTAAAAGTTTTAATTTTTTTTTTTCAATATATATTTTATATATATTTTTTTATAAATTATAAAGTATATAGTATTATTAATTATACAGTTGAGCAAGTTTTAAAAATTATATAAAGTTTTGTAAATTATATAAATATGGATTAATTTTTTATTATTTAAAAAGTATGTATTTTCTATGATAAATGTAGAAATAAAAATTTACAAAAAATTTGGAAATTAAAAAAAAAATTTTAAAATTAGTTATTTTATTTAGATAATTATTATGGACAATTTTACGGTTACATTTTAGAAAACCCTTTGTAAAAAACATATTTTTGCTATTTTTTTAAATAAGAACTATAATAGAAAATTAATAATTTTATATGAACTATGATAATTTGTTTTCAAAATTTAAAAAAAAAAAATTTTTTACTCTGTTTGCTTTGCATATTGATGTTCAGCGAGGCTGAACATAATTTTTAATTTGGTTTTAGGTGCCCCACGAAGACCTAACGATCTTGTCACAGAGCACTGCGAAAAGAGCATTTAATTAGGAAATCAAACAATAAAAAAGAAACGCCTTTTTAAAAATATATATATAAAGATTGTTTTAAAAATTATCTGACGATTGTTAAAAAAAAGTTGTGCAACTTAAATCTAAGAACAAAATATTTTATTTTTAATTGTATTATGCATTTTTTTTTTTTTTTATTATACAAATTACGATTTGCTGATTGTGAGAGAAAAATAATTTGATATCTATCATATACTAAAACTGTTACTAAGTCTAAAGATTGCAAAGTAAAATGGAAAAGGGGAGCTTCAAGTAAAACAACATTTTTAGCTTTTATTGATATACATTTATTATTTAGTTTTAATCAAAATGATTTAGCACAAACGTTTTTTAAAAACATTTTCTTTAATAGGAAGACAACTTGTCTTAACAGTTGGGAATCTCCTGTTTAAAATAATCTCAAATAATCTTGGGATTATTTTTAATAGGAGAAAAAATATTTTAATTTTAGTGTGTCTTTTGGGCAAATGCATTTTATAATATATTTTAACAGCTGAGTTTTAAAGTTTAGTTACATTAAAAGTTTTTATTATAATTGTTATATTTTTAATTTTTTTGAAGTCTGATTTTACTAAAAATTGTTTTTCATTTTAAGACTATTTCATTGTTGATAACAAATAAAAATTAATGAATGGCAGGTGTCTAAGATAAGTATTCTTATTAAAATACCCTTATTTCTAGCCTTTACTCAACCAAGAGCCCCAAGGCAGGATAGTTTAAAGTAGAAGTTTATTTTTCCTAGCCTTTACCTAAAAAAAACCAACCCTACAAGACAACAGAGAATGAGGCATGTAGTACTGGGTTACATGATATCAGTAGCAAGTTGATCGTGATGATCCTGAACCTGACCTGACCTGGAGTACTTAAAAAAATTAGTTACTTTCTGTAAGCAGTACATGGTGTAAGTGAACACCATGACAGAGGTTCAGGCAGAATACAAATATACAAATAGCAATTAACGAGTGAAAGAACACTGTGCTAGAGTTTTAGGCAGAACACAAACTTACATATAAAGTAAATAACAGGTAACACAGTAACTAACTCTAACTATATAAAAAACAAAAATATATATAGATATATTTTACTATAGGCATGACAGATATTAGTATTGATGACAGGAACACTTCATCTAGCCTTTACTTAATAAACAAATTCTACAAAGCAGCAGGACATGGAACAGGTTGCACTGGATTATGTGTTGACCTGACAACAAATTGTGATCTTAAATTTTATTATTTCTAAATGTTCAAGTGAAAGAAAAAATATAAAACTTTTTCATTTGCAAATTAACTGTGTTAGGATAGAAAACATTAATTTCCAGTGCTAAATATAATCTATTAAAATTTTGATAACTAGTGAAAAAATAATTTTTATTTAGTTTTAAAAATTATTTGTAAGTTTATTGTAAGTTCGTTATATTATCTTGCTTAAATCAAAATACATAGCAATCCATTTTGATTTTAGAAAGATAATGTAAATATACTGTTAATAAAGGTCTTGATTTGTTTGTCATAATAAAGAATCAGGTGGTCTTTTTGGTCTGCAGTGTTGCGAGTGTATCTAGTGTTTAAAGTTTTTGATAAAATTTGTTGAGAGCTTTCCAACAACCAGCTCTTTATTTTTTTTCCATTTGGTTGTTATAGTAGATTTTTTGGAATTTTTTTTTTTCTAAGACATTAGTCTAATGAGAAATATAAACTATTGGTTAATATAACATATGTTTTGAAGTGATTTGAAAACATAAGCTACGCTTACCTTTAGGTCATAAAAAAATTCTGATCAATAAAATACCTAATATTATATAATACAATAAAATACCTAATATTACCTTAAAATTAAATTCTAAAAATTAATCTGTACCTACATAGTTTGATTTTTTTTTTAATAATACCTATTTATTAGCCCGGCGATAACCAATACATAATAACAACACAAGGACCTGACAATAAAATACAGGTAATTTTTTAAATTTAAAAATTACAAAAAATTGTTTTAGTTTAATTAATCGTTTGCCAAAACTTTTAAACTTTTTTTGTAGGCCTACACAATAAAAGGAACGCTTCCGATGGGTTTAGATAATACGTCTTTAGCATCGCCCCATCAACTCGCAGAAGAAGCTACGAGAAAACGCGAGTTACGTCTTTATAAAAATCGGTAAGTATAAATCTAATTTTTGTAAGATAATTGAAATAAAAGAAAATTTAATTTTTACTTCATATTATTATAGTGAGGCCGCCAGGGAATGTAGGCGGAAAAAAAAAGAATACGTCAAATGTTTGGAAAATCGAGTTGCTGTATTAGAGAATCAAAATAAAGCTCTTATTGAAGAACTTAAATCACTAAAAGACTTGTACTGTAGCAAAGGAGATTGAATTCAATAACCTGCACAGTTCTGTTGTGTGTTTTTAAAATATCTTTTCAGTTTTTTAAAGAGCAGATATTCGCTGAAAATCTTTTAATCATAAATAACTTTTTAATTCTATTTGTAAATATATGGATGATAAATATAAATATTCAAGCTTCCATGAATCAGTGATGTTATCTCCAATATATAGTTAAAGTATTTTTTTCAAGAAATAATTTATATCGTTTACAGTTTTACGATTTCGTTTTTTTTTATTTATTATTTTTTCCTTCTTCATGGTTTAAGAAATTAGTTTTATTTTATCTAAAAGTTGTTTTTAATTTTACTTGTTTCTTTGGTTTTCTTCAAGGGCTTTTTCACAAATTCAATGAATTTTACAAACCCATTTTTTTCTATTTTTTTTTTTTTTTTATTTGAAATAAATTTTTATTTATATTGTATTTATTTAAAGTTATTTTATTGGTGTAAACGATCCTTTGTCAAACAAATCAGGCGCCGCATTTTTCTTTGATATCATGAGTTAACTAAAAAATAATACCAATGGCTTACAGATATTTTTTGCTTAAAAAACTTGCTTTGAAGAAAAAAAATTCCGGACCTGAATTGTTCTGCGGATATTTCGTATTTTGTAGTTTTCTTTTAGTTAAAAACTATATATTTTTCATAAACTTGTAAATAAATGTATAAAAGCGTTATGGAAACTATTGTGTTTTTAATTTTGTGGATTTATTTTTGTTAATAAAACACTATCTAAATACAGTAGATAAATCTACTATTTAGGCTGTAGTTAATAAATCTACTATTTAGGCTGTAGTTAATGTTTGTAAATGGCAACTAAAAAATGTTTTTTTATGTTTCATTGGACGGATTAATATCGAAACGTTTTAATATGGGAAATTTATTTTAAAGAATTAACACGAAAAAATCGAAATTTATTTAAAAGGAGTATAATGTTAAAAACATCTATACAGAATAATATCGAAATTTATTTTGAAGGAATAATGTCGAAAACGTCTATACGGAATATAATATCGAAATTTGGATTGGAATAGTATCGAAAAACTAGCAAAACGTAGAACAAGCGAGGAGTGTTGCTACATCGAATGACAAATAGGTAGAACATGCAATGAGTGCAACACCAACTGAGGGTTTGGTTTGGGCAGGCTAAAAAAAATTAAATCATAATCATTTTTTTAATTTTCGACATTCACTTTTTAATTATTTCGATGTTAATCATTTTCTTATAATTTCGATCTTATCTTGCTTTTTGGATTTTTGATACTATTTATTTTTTTACAGCTTCGATTTTATTTTCTATTTTCGAATTAGTTCAGTTTGGCTGTTTTTGATACTGTTGCTACTACCCGATATAAATATTAAACTAAAAAAATAAATAAAATGGGTTTAGGGCTAAAAGCTCTCACTTGACGTTAAATAAACAAACTATCCTCAACTTCTTAAAAAAACACAAGAAAAAAATGTTCCACTGAAGTTGCATATGAATATTACGAATACTTCTTATTTAGTTTATCATAAATAATCAACTAAATGAAAAGCAGGACAATATAAAAATTTTAAGGAACTCTTGATAAAAGTTTAACTTAGCTTTTTAGAATTAGATCACGAACAAATCAAAACTATGTCAAGTTTGCTTTACGTCACTACACTTAGTCTCAAACTAATATACTTTGAGCAAACTCTGCTTTATTAGCAAGGCAAACATTTTAAGAGCAAGTACATAACTATCAAAACTTGAAAAATTTTGTAGTTTACAAAAACATGCTTTTAGAATCATTTTCACTGCAGATAGGCATATACGCATAAACTTTAATGAAGGATACTTGAAATAAACATTTATCCATTAAATAAAACAAACCATCAATAAAACAACAATCTCACTTCTTCAAACTTTAATAACAAGTTTGAAATAAATATAAATGATAACTTTAAAAATTTTAGACCTCTAAATTAATTCTAAGGTAAAAAAAGGTAATAAACGAGGTAATAAACAAACTTATAAACATGCTGAATGTTCAATCTAATATAGCATTTATAAAGGCCAACTTTTTTAAGGAGGCGGAAACTGTTGACGGTGGCCTCCCGATCAATTTTTCAAAATATTCTTTCTTCCGCCTCCAGTGGCTTCCGCTTTTCTATTGGCGGCCGCAGCCGGAGTTCTTTTTTGGAGGCAAAATGTTTTGGAGGCCGACGCCAATAGAGTGGCGGAAGCCAATGGTGGCCACCTCCAGAAGAAATTTTGGAGGCAAAGCCATTTGGAGGCCGCCTCCAATGGCTTCTGCCTCCTAACTGGCTGCGGCCGTTAAATTGGAGGCGGAAATATTTGCCTCCCGCCGGCAGATGTGATAAAAAATAATTCCTCGTTTGTTTTAAAGCAATTAAATATTAACTAAAAACAAATGTTAAATACTTGACATCAAAGTTTTATTTTATATTATTTATTGACTATTTAAAAAATTTTTTGTTTAATCAAAAAAAAAATGTAACAATAATTTTAGGTATCTTGATATTGGTTCTGAACTTTTAAGTGATTCTGAAGTTAAACCAAATTTTAATTAACACCTTAAATGAAGCTGTCAATTGGCTGATAATGGAATGGTTAATGCTGCCAAATTGACTAGTAATGAAAAAGTTAATGGAATCTCAGGAGTTCAAAAGAGTAACTTAAAAAAATACCTTTAAAAATATTAGAAGCTGACATTACTATAACAAGTTTACCTTTTGATGGTATTTCGTCAAATATTAATATGGCTAAACAGTGATTAATAATGTTTCGTCAAATACTAATCATGTTGCAGTTGATTTATCAGTTAACTCTACTTGTACATACTTACCAGATTCAGATACAAAAAAATAAATTTTTATTTTTATGGATCCTCTGCATATGTTAAAACTGATAGGAAATGCATTAGGTTTGCACAAAATAATGTTTGATTGTTGTAATAAACCGATAAAATGTAATTTTATTGAAAAATTAGAAGCTATTCAAGAAAAGGAAGGCCTTCATTTAGAAACAAAAACTAAAATGAGAAATATAAACTGGTTTGAAGAAAAAATTAAAGTCAAGCTAGCTGCACAGATATTCAGTCAAAAAGTTGTAAACGCAATAGAATATTCACAAGAAAAACAGTTTGCTAAGGGTTTGGTTACTAGTTTGCCAAGGGTTTTGAAGACAGCAAAGCAACAAAAAAATTTAAAATTGTAGTTAATAACTTTTTTGACATCTTAAATAGCAGAAACTTGTTAGTTAGGAATTTAAAATCTAGTTTGCAACATTATAATAAAAATAACTATTTAAAAAAAAAACAAATTTTGAGTACATTTGATGTACTCAAAAACAACGATGTTAAATTTCTCTGCATTAAAGTCAGAATTAAACAGGTTTTATAGGGGTCATTGTAAGCCTGTAATCATATATGGGGACATGGAATTATTAAGGAAATTGGGATACAGTGGATCGAGGGGCACAGTGAATAAGAGAGATTTTCTTAAAGATTAGAATTTTGTTTATCTTAATAATATATCAGCAAATTTTATTTATAGTTGTTTCCTCGTAGTTTTTTACTACCGGTTTTTGGTAAGTAATTTTTGCTTTTAGCTAACTAAAGTAAATTTTCTTACCTTCCTTATGTTTGTTATGGAAATCATGGTTAAAATAGTTTTAAAAGGTAAAGTTTTTCATACGGATTATTGATATTTATGCTTCCTTTTAGAGGTTTAGCTTTTCCTTTAACAACACTCATGTCCCACAAAATTGGACTTTAACTTAAAATGTTATGATGGGGCACAGTAAATCGGGGTACAGTGAATAGATTGACTCACTATGACCCGTTAATGATCTTAAAGATTAAATTTATGCATTTTTAACAAATAAACTACTTGAAAATGAAATATATGTATATAATTAAACAAAAATTAAGAACAAAACTAAATGACTTAAAAGAAACTTGAATTTTGAAAAACCTAACTTATTAATGTTAACAAAATTTGATGGCTACCACGAGAACATCCCCACCCTCCCTAAATCGCAAAAAAAAAAAAAAAAAAAAAAAAAACGGTATCCCCAAATAAACTCTGGGTTTGTCAGTGAGTTACAACCAACTACATTGTATTTTTTTATGGATTCTTCTTTAAAGAAGAATATTTTGAGTGTGCTTGAGAAGAATACGAGTTTTTCAGAAAGCTTTCTGAAAAACTCGTATACTTTTCAAGCACCCTCGAAAAATCTAAAGGTACTCAATATTGCTTTTCAGCTTTTGATTAAAAAAAATAAAACTGTATTTCAGTGTCGGCATTCAAAAAAAATTTTATTATCTTTAATTCGCACAGGAGACTAGTAAACTATAACGGCTTTATGTTTTTTTTTTTTACCGTTTAGGGTCGTTAAAGTGAAAAAGTTACTAGTTTCTATTAGCAAATTATAACTATTAGAAATTTTTTTTCTATAAAAATGAATTTTTTATATATTTATACTTAAAGTAGTATTATACTTAAAGTAGTATAATTAATAATAAAAAATTGTTGATAAAATATTTTTTTAAATTATTAATAAAAAGTTCTTTATATGGAAAATTTTAAAAAAACAAAGATAAAAACCTGTTTTATTGAAAAAAATGAACATATTGAAAAAATCATTTCGCTCTTAAACTTTTAGTTTTAACGACCCGCTACCGTCAAAACTCAATCTACGGTAATTTTTACGTTTATATATATATATATATATATATATATATATATATATATATATATATATATATATATATATATATATATATATATATATATATATATATATATATATATATATATATATATATATATCACTTCAAACAAGACTGCAAGCAACCACAATTAGAATTGGAAGTTACTGGAAGAGAAAAGGTGAATTTTATTAAGCAAGATTAACAGACGACTTAAAAGATTGCAAGTTATATGAATAAGGAAAAAAAGATGAAAGGAGCAAATTCCAAAAAACGGATGTTCAAGGAAAAAAACTAGACGAGTAAGAATTTTTGAAGCACTCAAGAACAATCACAGTAAAAAATGAGTTGAATGACGAGTAACAAAAGAATTACTTTTAGTAAATGGCACAAGACGCTAGTTCTCTAGATGGTAGAATGTATAGTATATGGCACAAAACAGATAGTTTTCTAGAGCAGTGCTCATTACACTATTTATAGAAAAGAGAAAGAGAAGCAACATTACGACGATATGATAATGGTTAGAGTTTGGTTGCAGGAGATGGTCCAAATATGTTAAAAATAGATTTTTGCACCTTGTCTTAAAGAAAAAGGGCGTCATTCAAAGATCCTCTCCAGATAATGGTTATAGTATCCATACAAGAAAGGATTTAAGATTTATAAAATAAAATCCAAAGAAAAAAAAAAGAGAATCCAGAGTAAAAAGGTGGCTAGAACGATAAAGAGATGCAACCTCAGCAGATGCTAATTTTGCAATGGATTTGATATATGGTTTTCAAGAAAGATACGTACATTCCCGTTCATAAATATAAAAACCTAGATTATTGGAATAACTATTAGCTAGAAAAAGCTTTTTTTTGTCAAAATTAGTTAAAGTTCACCAGCTACTGTGAGCGCCATGCTGTAGCAAAAGGGAGATCCTTTTTAAGCTCAACTGCCCCGTCCAAACAATCAGAAAGTGTTGGCTTCTTTTCAAGACAAGAATAAATGGTAGTATCATCAGAGAACTATACCATCTAAGACATGAGAAATTCTGGGAGATTGTTAATATAAATTAAAAAAAGTGTAGGGCCAAGAATAGAACCTTGAGGGACCCTTGAAGCTACAGGAAATGTAGAAAAGTGTTGCCATTGAGGACAATTTTTATACTATGATTGGTAAAGAAAGATTTAATAGTTTTAAAGATGTTAACAGATTCACCTTAAGAGAGAGTTTATAGAGAAGACTTTTGCAAAGCGTTTCAAACTTTATCAAATGTTGAGAGCGATTCCCTTTTAAAAACCTTTTCACATATATATATATGCACAATAAAATCTATCTTTTATTGCCATTAACAAACCAGCATGCTGGTTTGTTAATGGTAACTGTACATGTACTGCTACAGCAGTAGAACGAGGAGATCGAAATCCATATTGATGGTCCGGAAGTAAGTTATTATATTCAAGATAAGAGATTAATTACGACTCAAAAACCTTGATTATGATAGGAAGAAGACTAACTGGATAAAAATTAGACGAGTCAGTAATTAGTACAGCTTAAGTCCGAAAAAGTGGCGAACAGTGGGTGTTTTCTCCCTTATAAGTTTCATACTATGGTGAAAAATAAAAAAACGCTAATTTTCTACAAATCGAGATTTATAAGGTCTTTTTATAGGTTGAATGCGTGATTACTTAATAAGACCATTCTCCATCCATAGAAATCTTTATTTTGGCGCTTATGATGAGTTTACAATTTCTAATTGTTTTGAATTAGTGTAGTAGATGTATTTATCTTAATGTTCTAATTGCACTCAACTATTTTTTTTTACATTAGAAATATTTTTTTATTCCCATTCTCCATCAGAATGCGTTTTCCTGTTCAGTATGATACTTAGTTGGGATATTCAGTATCCAAAAATAATTGCTGCAAATTTTGAAAGAACATGGTACATTACAGATTTAAAACACATGTCCGTTGTCTATTCTGTCTAATTTGTTAAAAAATAATAACAATCCATAAATTAGAAAAATAACATAAGCAACAAGAAAACGATTTCAAAAAAAATCTATGTTTGAAATGGGGTAGGAGTAGAGTAGGAAAATGGACGAAATATAAAAAAGAATTATACTTTTTTTACAGTTTCTGTGTAAAACAATAATAATATTATAATATAGTATCACGATGCACTTGATAAAAATTATGATAAACAACTTGTGTGTTAAGAAATTAACAGTTTATTAGTAAAAAAAGAAAGTTCATCAAACTTTATTCTATAAATTACTACTACAAAAAAACAAAACATTTATTTATGATTAATCTGTTGATTATACTTAGTTATCATATTGCTTATTAACGTATCCAATAATTGAGGAACAGAGTTTGCAACCACGCACTTTGTAGCGCAATCGGGAATACTTCCATTATAACTATTGTTTGAAAGACCAAAAATTTCGCATTTATCATGTGGCTGATTAATGTCTGGAGTGATAACACAAAAATCTCCTCCATTTGTCGCTCGTACTGCATCTTGCTCTATTGGTTTTTGTTCGTGTATTGCATTCTTCTGTACAAGAAAAAGGGATTTTTTTCCATACCAATCAATTTCTTCGGCAGGAGGAACAAAAAAAACGAAATCGCGATCGGCAAGAGGCCATGGTAAAATTGCTCTAGTGTATGTTATATACCCGCCGTTAGGAAGTTTTTCTAACATTTTATGGTCTTTAAAAGCGTGATCCCATTCACGTCGTGTCTCCAAGTTTTCAGGATGTAACAACATTGCAAACATTTCTCCTGGCATTGGCAAGGTAAGTTTATAGAGAATCTTTGTTTTTATTTTTTCTGCCAAAATTGTTTTTATCCAAAACGTTTCTCCTGGTTTTGTAAAGACCATTCTCCATCCTGATTTTTCTAAATCTTCTTTAAACCACTTTGCTCGTTGAACCTCCTTATTCATATCAACTACGTAAACCGGTTCGTTTTCGTGCATACTTGAACAAAATACTAAAAAAAAAAAGTAATCAAACTATTGAAATATTAGTTAGTATTTTTTAACTAAGATAAAAAGAATTTTTATTTTTGAAACCCCTGCTTTGATATCTTGAAAGCGTTTATTTCAAAGTAGAAAAGTTATTTTTAGATTTAAAAACACGTTGGTTAGAATACGTCATTCAAGGAAGGTCAAAACAATAACTACGTATTTAACTTTATAAACAATAATCGTTTTTTTTTTCCTCGCTTTTTTAAATACTTCTGCGACGTAGTTAAAGTAAAACGCTTTTTTTTTGAAGTAAATTATTAATATAATAAATTTTTATATTTGCTAATTAATTAACAATTTTATGTATTTTCATTAACAACTTTATCACTTTTTTTATTATCGGTTTTATCCGTTGTTTAAATAGAAATTTTTTCCAAGTTTTTGTTCATAGTTTGCTATTATTTCAAGTTCGTGATAATATTAATACAACAAGTTAAACTTTATTTGTCTTAATAGTTAAAATGTTTATGCAGTCTTTAATTAAGTGAAAAATTGGCGGTTTTTTATTTCTATCAAAAAAGTTTTTGTTTCATTCATTATCTTAATTTTATTTTTGCTCAGCATATTTTGAAATATACTAAATACACTTTGTCGGTACAAAAATTATAAGATAAACGATATTTGTAATTAAATTATTTGGTCGAATTAAAGTAACCGCAAATGTTGTTATCAAACCTATATATCTTTTAAGACGTCAAACGAGTTTTTTAAATTAGAATATATATTTAATATTTTTATAATTTAGCAATTATTTATAACATTTTTCGCCAAATATTAAAAAAAAATGAATTAAATCTCAAAGATTATTACTAAAAGAGAAAGATAATGTTTACATTCTGTTATAAACGTCGTTTGACTTATTGTTGCCTTTTAAGTTTCTTTATACTTTTTTTTTTTTCCACTGTTTCTATTTTTCGTTTTTCAAACACACTCTAGTTTCTACTGGTACATTAAAGATGAAATGAAAAACTTTGTTTCATATAGATATTTTCCAGAGTTTTAACTTTAAAAAAATAACTAACTTAGTAGGGAAGGATGGAGAGTAGGGTATATCATATTTTTTAAAAATTTTAATAAAAAAAAAAAAAAATTATGCGAGTATTTCTAAGCAACATTGAAAGAAAACTTTTTTTGTTTTGTTTTTTGGGTAAAAATGAACATGAACATTTTTTCCAAATTTTTGAATTTTTTTCTAAATTAAGTTATTTGCAAAGCTTATTGTAAAAAAAAAATTAAAATTAAAATGAGTTCTTGGCTTTTTTAAGTTGTAGAGAATTTTTATGTGAATTTAAATATACTATAATAAAATAATTTTTTAATAAAGTTTTTAAAGAAACTTTCTTTTAATTTAAAAAAAAAAAATTTATTCAACCCTCATATTTGACCCTCATATATTCAACCCTCATATTTGGGGAGAATAAAATATGCAAACTGATAAGTAATTAAAAGAATACTTAATTCAAATAATACTTATTTTAAACTGATAAATAATTAAAAGAATAACTAATTAAAATAAAACTTAAAAAATAAATGAAACCAATGATAACAATAACAACAACAATAAAAAAAAACAATTAATAGAGAAAATAAAGATGTTGAGTCTTTAAAAAGTTTTGGAGGTTAATGAGACACTCTGCTTTGCATTTTCGCACGTCTACGTTTTTTTGTTTTTTGTGTCAAAGTATTGTATGCAAAACATTTGCTGCTAAGCTGCGAAAAACTATACGGCCAAGTGAATGAAAAAAAGCTATTACCTCAGTAATTGGTCAGCTTTACGTAAATTAAAACTTTAACAGTTTTTTTCAAACTTTTATTCACGTAAAGCTGAGCAATTACTCGGCGTTTTTAGAGCAAATTTCTTAAGAGCGCATTTCTGTAAGAGTCAGACATAGGCTCTGTCTAATTCTTACAGAAAGTTCTGTCACTGAGCTCAATAGTGATCCTCTTCAAAATTACTAGTTTTTTAAATATGTTGTTGCTGTTCATACTAGAAGCTTAATTCCAAAAATTTTTTTAAAAATATTTATTGGTTCTTTAGATATTAGTTGTCAAAGTTTGACTAAACTTTTAGAAATACTGACTAAATGTTGTCGGAGGCATTTTTGAACTCAAAAAAAGAGCAAAGTAAAAACTTTACAACGAGTATTCCACTTTATTATTGTTTATTGGTTAGTTTAGACCAAAAATTAATAAAATTGGTAAAGGAAATTTTTTTCTTTGTCTAAATATCGAAATACGCAAAAAATCATTTTTTTGTCATTTTTGATCCTCGTTTTCATTCGAAGCCGCGATTATCCAACAGTTTTTATTTTTTTTGTTATTATAAATCTTTATCTAGTTAAGTACCTAAACATATAAAAACACCTATGGGGAAGCAAAGGCTTAGCCGCAAAATCAAACTCAAAAACGAAGTTCTAATCTTTTTTACGCATTGATTGTGACATGATAATGATTTAAAAAAAACTTGTATTGACCTTTAATCTACCTTATTTATGAAAAATACTTATGGAGTATTACCTTTTTCTGTTGTGCACCTCTTAAGAGGTGTTTCATATACTCTGTGATACTGCCTATTGATACTTTAATGCCATATAATACATCATCACCAACATCATTTTCATTTCCTATTTGGTTGACTTCAACTAAAACTTCAAACAGCTTATTGCATTCATAGCATACAGAATCATTTAAAATACTAAATGATTGCATTTTAATGTACACAGGATCAGAAAGGGCAAATCAAGTTAAATTTGTGTTGCAATTTCATCTTTTATTTAATTTTTAAATAATTTAGCTTTTAAATACCTTTTTGATCGTTCAAGTTTCTCAAGAGTTGATTTTTTATTGAAAATATTTGCAAATTGTTCAAGTGTTGCAAATCCATTCCTATTCCAGAAGCAGTCGTGTCATTTAAACCAGCCAGGCATTTTCTATAAGATGGTTTAACTCCATTTAGTTTCCGTATTAACCTTGAGTTACACAGAGACTCGTACGCAATTTCTTTGCAACTTTCCCCATATAAAACAATGGTGTGACTGTTTTTTGTTGTTAAAATTGCATTTGCTACAGTTTCAACATCACCACTGTCATACTTTATTTTGGAAATACCATAAGAAGCGTCTTGTAACAGTCCACTTAAAATGATGAAATCTAAAAAATGTTCACATTTTGGAATTGAAAGTCTACTTCTTCTGAATAAATTCTTTTGGGGTAGGACAAAACCTTTTTGTGAGGTTTTTCATTTTCTGGCAAGTCCTATTTTATATTTTGTGCACTTAAATGTGTTGCATAAAAATTACTTTGTGTATTTATTATGATCAATAAATACCAAAATTACAAGTTGACTTGTTGCAACACTATTTTTATACATTTCTACAAGTTTTTCAATTTAATCTGGAATTTTTGTTTCAGCATTTTCATCACCTTCAAGCACATTTAAAAACTCTTCCGATTGACCAGGCGCAATAGATTCTGCAAATTTTTTTCTGAAGGTTTCTTCGATACGTTTATATTTCTTTCGCATTTGTTGCTTTGTGGATTCATTGATAAGCTCAAGTTTTCTTTAAAGACAAGCTGTGATATTTTCTCTGATTTTATTTGAAATATTAAGGTCTTCTTGATTTTTTAAAAACTCATCTGAAGTAAAATTAATATCAGTAGCTGTTAATGTAGGTTTGTGTTCAGCAATTATTTTTGTTTATTTTTTCCTTGTCTCGAAATAGTATTCTTTTCGATGACAATTGCATATAATTGAACCAATTGGAATGTATGAGTTATAATGGGAAGATATTTGAAGTGTCATAGATTTTGGTGCTGGTTGCCCTAATAATACTTTCTTTCCTGTTTGTACTTTGTGATTAGGGTGCATACATTTTTTTCCTTGTTTCCACCCTATTCCTAATGTATAGCGATGATACGCGCATATTTTCCCAGTATTGTTAAAATTTCTGTTTAAACGAATTTTCAATTAGAGATTTTTCGTTCCAATCACCAGCTAGGTCATAGCTCTTTAACACCTTAAAATATAATAAAAAGTAGAGTAACAAGTAAATATACTGAATTTAAGCACTTTAAATTAAGCAATAAATTTATAAGCACCAAGAAAATATCTATACTATTTATATATTATTTTTTCTGAACTAATGCAAACCCAATAAGTATTTTTTATAAATAAGGTAGGTTAAAGGTCAATACAAGTTTTTTTAAATTAAAATGTACAGTGAACCCAGGGTTTTTATTATTATCAATGCGTAAAAAAGATTAGAACTTCGTTTTTGAGTTCGATTTTGCGGCTAAAATACCCCATAGGTATTTTTATACGTTTAGGTACTTAACTAGATAAAGATTTATAATAACAAAAAAAAACTGGGATAATTACGGCTTCGAATGAAAACGAAGATCAAAAATGACAAAAAAATCATTTTTCGCGTATTTCGATATTTAGACAACGAAAAAAATTTCCTTTACCAATTTTATTAATTTTTGGTCTGAACTAGCCAATAAACAATAATTGAGTGAAATACTTGTTGTAAAGTATTTACTTTGCTTTTTTTTGGAGTTCAAAAATGTCTTCGACACCATTTGGTCAATATTTCTAAAATCTTTAGTCATCTTTGAAATCTAATATCTAGAGAAGCAATTGATATAAAAAAAAAATTTAAGTTGAGCTTCTAGTATGAATAGTAACAACATATTAAAAATTAGCAATTTAGTAAGTCACTCTAAAAATTTAGTATTTTTGGCTGTTTCTTTCAAAAAGTCGCTCTAAACTTTACGTGAATAAAAATTTGAGCAATTTTGCTCAAAATTTTATTGACGTAAAGTTAAACAATTACTCATAAAACGCTGAGCAAAAGAAACTGCATTTTTTTATTCAACCGGCCAATCGGGCCGATTGCGATTGTTTTGTAACTTTTGTTTGAATTTTTTTTAGAACATCCGGGGTTTTTTGGGTTTTTTCAGCATCTTTAATTCCAACAAGGCTGCAAGTACCCACTTTTAGAGTTAGAAGTTACTGAAAGAGAAAAGATGAAATTTAGAACAAGATAACGGTTGAAAGACG